TGTCAACAGGGTAATAAGAAAGAACACCAAAGTGTTTTTCTCTCTGCTTAAGGGAAGTCAGGCCTGTGAAAGCCATGCATATATTACAGCACTTGACAGCTTGGGCTGCCAGTGCTCTGCTGCAAGGAGTCTGGGGATGATACGGTGCCACACAGCAGAATTACAAGGAGATAGTGGATGCGATTTGGACTGTGCCACCTGAAAACCTTGACCCCTTTCACACAGTGGCAATGGTGGGATTTGCCCTGGGATGAAGAGCAGTAATGTGAATCCTTCATTATCCTGTGTCAGGCGATGTTGGGGATTCAGACTTTCCCCACCAGTGTCTTGAAGACATATACTGTGAGTGAACCAAGTCCAGCACCAAGGAGAAGCAGGGAATAGGAGACAGAGTTGCTGCCTTTTAGGGATTAGTAACATTGGGGCACTTTTAAGCCTAATGCAGCTTTTAACTTTGCAGCTGGGGCTAATGTGGCAATGTGCTGATGGCTCCAGCTCTGGCAGTGGTCTGCCTGAGGCTCGCTTTGCTTCATGGGATGGAGGGTTTTTGCTGCTTTAGCTGTGGGGTTCCCAGAAGAATTGCCTCCTTGACCTAGCATGAGCTGTCTGTCTCCTGGCTGTAAATCTGTGCATGTGAGTCAGTGCAAAGGGAGGCAGAATGGCAGAGCAGGAGTTAAACCAGTCTCTCACATACACACCACGGAGCTGGTGCTGAGCACTGTCCTGGGTAGCACCCACAATGCTGCCATTGTATGGTGCTGCCTGGATGGGCTGTGCATAAATCAGGGTGTGTAAGTAACAGGATGAGGTTGTCCCGATGATGTTACAGGCTGGGGAGAGTGTGTAGATGTGCTGCAGCTATTCATCCATGACTAATGCAGCTTTCCTCCAAACTGCAGGAAGGAGAGGCCATGTTTTGGGCAATTTCTGGTGCTTCTAATGTAAGGATGGGGATGGTGAACCCGGCAGGCTTGTTGCTAGGCACATTAGTCCTTATTCCCTGCATGATTTATCCTCCTGAGGTCGTGGTATCCTCCCTCCTCCTAAAGTCATGACCAGCCACTGCAGGAAAGGTGCCACCGCAGAGGGCATAGGGCAGATAAATAACGAGCTCTGCCTGAAGAAGGATGCTCACAGGCTGACATCACATTGGGGATGAGTATCATTTACCCATGTGCATCTTTGGGTACCAATGTGCAGCCGTGAGAGTGGTTATGGGGCACTGGCTGGGCTGGGAGCCATAGGGGGTGCGGGCATCTTGTCGTCACCCTCCTGCATCCCTGCCTGACGTCACGATGCGGTTAGGTGACGTCAGATGTTGCTGCCTCTCGAGGGGTGGGGAGGCTGTGTCTCCGTCTCCATAGCAACCGGGACGCCTCCGCCGCCCGGCCCCGTCTCCATGTGACCGCGCTCCATCACGTGATGTTTGGCTGCCGCCGAGCTGCTTCCGGGTCGATGCGGGACGCGGCCGCCGGGCCTGGGTGAGCGGGGCCGGGGGTGCTGGGGGGGGAAAGCGGGGTTGTCACCGGTGTCACCGGCTCCTGCCACGCTGCCCCAGCGGGGGGGGCCGCTGCCACCCGGGGTCCGGCCTGCCCGGGGCGTCTGAGGGGCGTCGGGGCAGTTTAACGTCCGTGTTCGAGGCGGCCGGGCCGGCCCAGGGGCTCTTGGGCGTTCGGGGATGGGGACCCGGGGCTGCCCCGCACCGTGGGGCCTCACAGCACAGGGCAGGGGCCGGTAAGGGGGGGCTGCACACTTGTGCGGTGGAGTTTGTCTTTGCAGCAGCCCCCAAGGGGAGAGCTGGGAGCATCCTGTCAGAGGCAGGGTTCGGTGTGCTTGGGGTCAGCGTGTCTACCCTGATGGTATGCATCTCTGTCTGTCAAGATGAATTCATATAGAATAACCCTGAATCATGTCGTAGGAGAAGGACACAGCAGCTTCTTGTAGGCAGATGTTTGTTGTGTCGCTTCTCTTCCTTACGCTTTGCTTTCCACGTATCCAAACATGTCAAAGTGTGTTCGGTGTGTGGCTGGTCAAGACCTGCTCTGCAGGCATTCGGGTGGCACTGGGCTTCATTAGAATGGCATTAGTGATGCAATTCTCCTGGAGGGTCTCTTGTTCTCCTCATGGGCTTATAGCATGGGGATAGAAATGTTTTTCATGTCATTTTGGGTGTTATCCTGTCACTTCACTGCCTTGGATCTTAAGTCAGGCTCGTGCTCTCTGTAGACACATGTGTCACTGGAGCCTTCCGGCAGAGCATTTCAATATAGACAACAAAGACGACTCGTTGACACCTTCCAAAGACTTGAGTGCATCATTTGGAGCATGCATTTGTCACTTAGAAACCCCAGAGTTATGTCAGGCCATGAGCTGTGCCTTGTGCCGCCGGCAGGAAAGCGCTCGGAAATGGGCACCTTGCAAACCACTCTGCCCTTGTGCAGGCGACGTGCACTTGAAATGTGTCATCCTTGCTTTGCATGCTGCCAGTCCTTGCTCTCGAGCAATTGTAGTGATTCAGAGGAGCCACGTGCATGACAGATGATTATAGTGAATGTGAAACGGGAGGAGAAGGGAAGTGGGAAAGGTGGCTGCCCACTCCCTGACATCTTTGTCATCTGGCAATGGCTTTGGCATGCAAAAGTATAGCTTGAGAAAGAAAATGTTTGTGATTCAAAGCTGTTGAATGTAGATGGCATTAGGGAGGTGTTTATTCTCAGTTCCGGGTTGCTCTCATTGTGTAGCTTTTTGCCTCTTTTGTGATGTTAAGGTGACTTTCTCATTTGGGATTCCAGCTGATGTTTGCTCAGCAGCTAAAGGGGAATGGAGCTGATAAAAAAGCAATGTGAAGGACAAACAGCTTTATGCATGGGGGAGTTCCAGAATTGCCAGACCAGGATGTCTGAATGTGCATTCAGGGAGCAGTATCAGTGTGTCCTGCAGCACTGAGCTCCAAACCCACTTCTGGAATGAGGCCTTTCAACCTAAAGCCTTGGCTGTCAATGCAGATTGTTCCTGTAGCATGCAGAATGGTGTAGCAGAAACCTAAATGCCTTGTTCCTAATGCAAACTTTGATTTCTTCTTGGATTCTAGATAATCTAAGTGACAGGAAGTTCAGTTTGAGATATGCATCAGCCAAGTTGTTGAGGGCTGCAAAAGGTGTGTTTGTTTTGTTGGGGTATTTTAAGTAAGACCAATTCTGTAAATCCCTATTTGTGACATGTGAACTTGTTATATAATATAACAATTTTGACAGGCTTCAGTCAGCTTGCTTCCTATTATAATGAAGTCCTTTGTGATAGAAAGGTCTTAGTTTTGTCTATGAAGAAGTAGTTTGTTAAGCAGCTGATTCTCAGCAAAGGAGACCTGAACATCAGTTAGATAAATTCTGCTCGGGATTTTCTATCTCTTCTTTCCTGTAATAAAGCTAAAGGGAAGTTTATGACAGCAGGCAGAAACTTTAATGCAGTATTGTTTAGCAACATCACTTTCAACATGCATGTGACCCCAGCAGGAACTCAGAAGTAAGGATTTCCACCTGGAGGTGCAGGTTTATGTGCATAATGTATGTATCTTTGTGAGCTGGGTTTTGCTACTATACTAGAAATGTAATGATGCAGTTCTCAGGAAAAATGCTGTTCCATGACTAATGGTACCCTGTAGGAAACCTGCAGTTGAATCCGTGCCTTGTGTTAGAAGCTGTGGATGTGGATCTCTGCTCCGTGTCCATGGCTGGTAGCAGGCACTGCTCCGGACTACATGGCCTGTGTGAAACCTGGGAGCAGTGTGGTTCCCTTGGTGCATGTATCAAGCTAAATTCCTTCATTATCCAGACAACTATACAATGTCAAGGTCAGCCTCTGTGCAGGAAAGTAGGACAGATAAGCTTAGTTCCACCTAGGGTACAGCAGAACGCCGACCATCACGGTGTCTTTGTGCCAAATATACTTCCAGCTGACACTCGGTATCTTTCTAGGCAGCCTGCAGTGTGGTGAGTCCTTTTTCCTGTGCTGTCTCTTCCGTGACAGGCACAGATATGAAGGGCACGTTTATCTTCCAGATACATTAAGCAGCTGCAAAATTGAATTGGCAAAACTGGCTTTTTGGACTGGCCAAATGATGTGCTCATATGTGCTTGAGAGTTGTTTCGTGACACAGCAATTGAGCTCTAATTAGAAGAACAGGTTTGCAGGCGGGATGGGAGATCTGTAGTTCATTGCCAGTGTCAGAGAAGAAATGATAATGCTTCTTATGAGGCCAAAGCTTGCTTTGAATGGGGCACTGCTGTCAGGGAAGGTGAGAGCCCTGAGTAAGCTTACCATCAAACTCGAGTAGTTCCATGACACCCAGTGAGGCAGCTGATGGAAGTCTTGCTAGCAGAGAGTGTTAGGCTCCAAGCTCTTTACACCATTGCCCTGATATTACAAAAGCAAACCATAACCTGCTTTGCACAGTGTTTCTTTCTGAACAGTTAGAGAGGTGTGGATCCTTTTTTCCTTTCTTTTTTTCCCCATCCAAAAAGCTGAGCCTGATGGAAAGTCCTGAGTTAAACAAAAGGGTGAAAACGTTTGTTTGAGCAATCTTTCACTCCTAAACAGCTTCTTGCTCTTTCCCCTTCTTGCTGCCCTGCAAATGTGCTTAAAGATATCTGTGAGTATCACACAGTCCTCTTGGCAGGTATGGAAATCATGTTTTGCAGCCTGGGGCACATTGGCAACTGTCCTGTAAGAACATGTGGGACAAGGAGGCCTCATACTTGGCCTGTTGTGATATGATTGAAAGCACATTTGTGTAGCTTGGACCCCCTGCTTGGTTTTGGTTTCTTCTCAGGTAATGTTTGACTGTAATTTTGCATTGGAAATAGGACCTATTAGACTGATCTGTAGTTCAGAAGTGAAACTCGTAACCCATCGAGTCACTTTGTGATGTGTTCCAAGGACCAGTACTGGAGATGATTGTTGGTTGCTGACTGTTTATGTGCTCTGTTTTTTCAGTGCTAACCAGAAGGGAGCATGGACCAGCCCAGTGGAAGGAGTTTCATGCAAGTTCTTTGTGAGAAATACAGCCCTGAGAACTTCCCATATCGTCGTGGACCTGGTATGGGGGTGCACGTCCCAGCAACTCCACAGGGTTCACCTATGAAAGGTAGGTGAACTAGGCTTCTGGTCTTGCTGAGCATCTGTGGGGTTCTGGGTGGGATCAGTTTCTTGGCCATTCTTATATTGTCCTGAATTAACCAGAAAAAGAAACATCACGATGTATTATAATGTGTTCCTTAGTGAAGAGCTGAGAGACTGCAATCTAACAAAGACAGAAAGTTGATCTAGGGGCTGAACTGGTAGCTGTAAAAAGTAAGTTTCCCTACAGCATAAGAGAGTCAGAATCTGTCAATGAAAGATAGAAATAAGGCCTTATACAGGCTGACTTCTGAGGGTTCAGCAGTCCTTGGAGTTAATTTTCTTCAGACTAGAGATACCCGCTCTTTCATTATTGGCTGCAAGTGTGGGCATTTTGGCAGAGATGGCTTAACAAATACATAACACTTGATCTGAATTGGAGGTCAATGCCACATGCTAGTGGAACTGCCTCTTCTTTGTGTAACCTCTTACCCATCTTGATTGGAAAGTGTGGTTTAAATCCCGTCAAGTCAATTTGTATCATAACCAGCCCCAAAGGGAAAAGGAGCCCTGGAAGTCAGCTGGATGAAGTTCACAGTTACTGAGTGTGACAGAGGAGAAAAAAAGGGCCTGAGTTCAGTTGAGGATAAACCAAACAGTGTGTTGCTCAAAATTAACATGAAGAGGAAATGGGCCTGATGGGCTGTTCAGTCAGTGCCCTCTCTCCAGTGTGTGAGCACCCACTTAACTGAGCTATTTAGATGCTGGGAAAAGGGCATGTTTTTAAGTCTAAAATGTGATTAAGATGTGACTTACAAGCGTATCATAACTACCCTTTAAAGAAGCCGGATGCTAATAAACAAGCTTGCAGGAAACTTGTAAACTCTGATCACACCAGATAATTGTCTGCTGCTAGAATTGCTTTCTAGTTGTGTAGCTATCAAGTATTAAGGAGAGAGAAAAAGGGCCATCTTTTTAGGAAAAAGCTTGCTGTTAGATTTAGATACTCCACAGAGGTGGGAGAGCTCTACTGTATGCAGAAGAGTGTAAGACTGATGGCTTGCCTTGCCTTAATATGTGTTTCTTGTGTTGAAATGGTTTCCTGTTACAAATCTTGTAACTTTGTCATGGTTTGGCCTTACCAAATGAGGTCGTCATTGAGATCCAAGTTCTTGTCTGTGAAATAACTGCAAGAACTTTTACCTGCCTGAGCAGGAACTAGAGCAAAACAGGAATGTAAAAGGCAGAGTAAAGGCGTAAGCTTTTTGCAGGCTGTAAGAATGCTGAACGTTTTACATTGTTGAAAAGGGAAAGCTTAGAATAGAAATGTTAAAATACATCCTTGCTGTTAGTAACCACAAGTGGGCTAAGTACCAGAGCATAAGGGAGGCTGACTGTGCAACTAACAGTCCACCTAGTCCTGCATCCTATCTGCAGTAGCAGATGCCTGGGGAAGAGCAGAAGTTCTGGCAAGAACTGATATGAGACATACTGCAAACTATGAAACACTGCCCCATCCTTGCTGCCGTGTGAACAGAAATACATGTGGTAACTGAAGAGCACTGATACCGAGTGGTACTTCATGTTTAGACAAGAGAAGACTTCTTCATGTTGTCGGTCACTTGTTATAAAATCCATGTTTATCTAGAGATCCCTAAATATGTGTGAATTGGGGAATTACTGATAGTGTTTTTCTGTTGCTCAATGTCATGTTTGTGCTTGTTGTTACCTTCTGTAAGTAAGCAATGCAATGCTGACCAGAGGGCATCTTTTCTTTTTCCCTGTTTCAGATCGCCTCAACCTTCCGAGCGTGCTGGTACTGAACAGCTGTGGCATAACCTGTGCAGGGGATGAGAATGAAATCGCTGCCTTCTGTGCTCATGTGTCTGAGCTAGATCTTTCTGACAATAAACTGGAAGACTGGCATGAGGTAAAATGGCTACGTGTGCATCTTTCTGAGTAACTTTGATGGCTATTGCCATGACTGCAAACGCATTGCAGCTTAGAAGAGTGCTTTATTCACTTAAATGAGAGAGATTTCCATTTTTTGTGGCTTCTTTCTCATCTTTGAAGCTGATGCTTATTTACTCTGACAACAACTGAGCAATACACGTGATGAATTTAATCCATTTGGGCACTTCAATCCATTTACCTCATGACTTATGATCTTGGACTGGGCATGACAAATATATATATATATATATATCTATATATATATCCTGCAAAGCACTTGAACTGCCATTTCTAACACCAAGAGGTTAATGAACAGTGCAGCTTTTAACAGAGCAAGAACTGAGGAGGTCCAAGTAATGGCAGCTGATTCCCAGCTTTGCTACCAATTCTGTATTTATTCTCTCCCCTCTTTTGTTTCCCTATCTGCAAAACAGGTTTAGTAACTTTTACCTCAAAGGATATTTCTGAGGACTCATTGATTAATGCTAAATGCTATTGTAAAATCCTCTGAAGTGCTTGGGTGCATTTATGCTAGCTAAATGCAATGTAATATGAGTAAACCAATTGCAATGTGTTCAGTTGTTAACATTTCCTCACTGGCTTATGCTCTGCTTTTATGTTAGTGTTTACTGTTGGAAATATATGGAAAAGAACAGGATCTGCAACATAAACACGTTTATGTGTTTCTGTTGCATCAAACTCTTGTCTTTAAACAAGTTGTTAACTCAGTGTTTGCAGAGATGTCCCAGCTCTGGCATGGGGGTCACAAAACGGGGTTTCCCTGTTCCTGTTAGTTCCATGTTAGCCTACTCAGTGAGTAGGAGAGAGATGTTATGCTTGTCTGTTGAGATTAGAGCCAGGGAAGATGGTTTTCTACTGGGGGTGTATCTGCTATGAACTGGGATTGTGTCTCCTGTCTTATTCTGAGGGAGACTGTCTCCAGCATCATGCATTCAACACTTGATTTCAACCGCTGCATGAGACAACTGCCCTTTGCTAGCAGCTGGGCCCTGTGTATGTCATAATCTGCCCCATCTCTTCCCATCCAACACTGGGATCGAATGCAAGAAAGCTGCTGTTTTCAGAGTAATGGAATGGAGTAAGAAATCCATTGTATGTGTGCAGTGAGCTTCTGGCTTTTAAGTTGGGCATAATTGTGGGGTCTGTGGCTAGTGGGGCACAGCGTAAAGCTGAGCAAGTGGCCATAAACCCAAGAGATGTGCCAATTCCCTTCCTGCTAAAAGAGGGGTACAGTATGCTGGCTCCTGTAGCGTGCTGCAGCTTGATCTTGGTGTTGAGGTGGATTTTATGACCTCTCACAAGAGACTGGCTTTCTCTTACCAAGCAGCTTGGAGAGTGTAATTAAATGAACTGTTGAGGTGAATGAGCAATTAACCAATCGATCTACATCAGTGAATAGCTGGAGTATGATTTACAGGGGGTAGTTATCCAGAAGCATTGTTTTTTTCCCCCCCAATATAATTTCTTTGGCTCGTGGTGATTCCGAAGGCCCCTCTTCTAGGGGATAGGGTATTAATGCATGAGGTTAGATCACTGCCTGATACACTTTTCTTTCTCTCTCTTTTTCCCCTCCCCACTTAGGTCAGTAAAATTGTGTCCAACGTTCCCCACTTGGAGTTTCTAAACTTGAGTTCCAACCCTCTCAGTTTGTCCGTTTTAGAGCGAAGGTGTGCTGGCTCTTTCGCTGGGGTTCGCAAACTTGTGCTCAACAACAGCAAAGCTTCCTGGGAGACAGTCCACACAATCCTGCAGGAGTTACCAGAGTAAGCATGGCAAGTGGGGCATAGAAAGGGGTGCTTGCTGTATGCAGGTCAAATCACATGGTGAGGGATGAGAGGGGAACTGGCCAGGTAAATATGTAGTCTTAAAAGAGCATCAATGGTGTTGCAAAGCCTTGGGCTTCTCATCCAAATCTGCATACCAGAGATGAATAATGACCCCAACAATGTAGGAGGTGACATGCTTTCCTCTGAGTCACTGCAGAATGAATGGTGCGATGCATACCTGTGCTAATAGCTTTTGAATGAGATGCAAGTCTGAGGGCCTGGCCACTTGTCAAGTAATATTTCATCATGCTTTTCTGGGCAGAAGTGTTGATTTCTGTGGCTTGGCCACAGTCCACCTTGGCAAAGGCATTCTGTTTCTGCACATGTCCTCAGTGGCTTCGATTTGATAACGGATCCCTCTTTGTATAGCTTTGTGAGCAGAGATGATGATGAGGTATAACCTGCGTAGCCAATGCTCACTTCCTTGGGATTAGGAGAGCTATTTTAGTTGGCTGAAAACTTAGTGGGACCTGTTTATTCTTTAATGGGGATACTTGGCAAAACCAGTGATGTAGGGAAAAAAGCATCATCAGTGTCATGTAAAGACGTCTCTTTAAGTTGTGAGCATTGAGAGCAGTTACCAGCCACCACTGGGGCTGGGTTGGTGGCTTGTTGGGCACATATATGGGACACCACCCAGAGCAATCTGTTGCATGGTTAATAGTGGGGGGCTAGGGGAACACTTGGAGGTGGTTTTCATCTGTGGAGGAAGCTTAGAAGTGGAAGCAGAAATGGAGATGAAATGCTCCATTCAAAGCTCTTCTCTACACCAACTTTTCAAATCACATAAGAGCTGTTGTAGAAAGTCATGTTAAAAGCGCATGCGCGTGTCCCTGTACCTGAAATCTCAATGTATGCTGAGATGGTGATCTGATCTTTCTTCCCCTGTGCAGCTTGGAGGAGCTCTTTCTGTGCCTTAATGACTATGAAACAGTGTCTTGTTCTCCGGTTTGCTGTCAGTCTCTCAAATTACTCCACATAACTGATAACAACCTTCAAGACTGGACTGAAATTCGAAAACTGGGAATTATGTTTCCATCACTGGACACGCTTATCCTGGCTAACAACAACCTCACAACCATTGAAGAGTCAGAGGATTCCCTAGCAAGGCTGTTCCCCAACCTGCGATCCATCAATTTGCACAAGTCAGGTGAGAGCCTGGAAGCAGTATGCATTTTGTTCTCTGCACTGAGCCTCTCCTCCTGAGAAGGTGAAAAACCACACTTGCTTTGTGCTCTTTGAAACTTCAGCCTTGAGGTGCTTGCTTCTCAGGCTGCGTTAGCACTAAGTAGCCTGCAGTCAGCATTGCTTCCTGCAATGTAGGAGAAAGGGCAGGTGAAGGTAGAAGTGCTGAGCAAGAGTCTAAACCATTGGGATAGTTCTGTTGCTGTAGCAGAGCTGGAAATGCTCAGTGACCTTTGAGCAGTCTGTCCTATCTTCTCTGCAGAATCGAAAAGCTGTTGATAAATGTAGTCCCAACAGACCTGGCATCTCCAGTTTTCTAATGGTGCTAACGCAGGGCTACACAAGCAGAGATACTCAAGTGTCCTGACCTGAAGAAGGTAGCATTAGGGGAGGAAAACAGGCGAGAAATCAACTTACCCATCTCTGTGGGCTTCACCTGCTGCTTTTTGAGGTTAGTCCTTATCTAAAGGATGAGTCAGAGGAGCATGGACCTGCAGCTACTCAAAAGGAGCTGCCACAGGTTTTTTACATTAGTAGTTTCCCCTCTGTTTCCTGTCCCAGCCTCAGATGCTCCTGGCTGGAGAAGGATAAATGTCTGGCTGTGGAGGGGATGAAAGACTCCCATTTGCCTTTAATCCCTCTTTTATTCTGAGTGAAAATGAGCGTATGTGTAGGTATGTGGCATGTGAGGGCTGAACATTCACCAGCAAAAGCTGTCTGTCATGTGTGCTCAGTTATTAGAAGCTCACAAGTTATGCTCGAGGCTGCTTTTACATTTCAGCCCCAGAGAATTTTCAGCCAACGCTCCAGAAAGAGAAGCAGCATTTGGCATATCAGGAAGAGCACCCCATGCTCGGGGAGCAGGAGCTGCAGGGCAGCTCGTGAGGGCTGTGATGTGCTTGTGAGATGCCAGTTCTTCTGCAGGAGTACTTAATGCATCATAATCTTCTGTTCTTTACAGCTTTATGTGCTGTGCAAGTGATAGTTAAGTGTTAGCCAAGGTAGAAGGTGATTTATTAACATGCTCTGCAATGTTAGCATCAAGGAATCCTTATAATAAAAGCTTAAAGCTAACTAGAGGAAGAAAAGCCTGTTAAGCTGGGTTTGAAAGCACTGTCTCACAGTGTAGCGAGTGCTCCTGTGGTAAGTAGTTTTGCAATTTTGATGCTAGATATTCAAGAACTCTGGACTTCCTATTGCATTTTGATGTTTTGGGAGCTGAAAGTCAAACAGAAATCCCAAGGAGCATGTTAAACACTTGGCAGATGTGTTTTGAGTGCTATGGGTAAAGAAACTGCCTGCCTGCCATGATGCTTAGGAGTTTTGTTTCTGCTCTTAAAAGAGCCCCTTCTTCTGACTTGAGGCTCAAATGAGACCCCTGATTTTCTTTAAACCAGTAATATTTCTGGGTTTTTTCTGTACTGTGTGGGTGAAGCTGTTGGATGTTGTTCAGAGAAACCAGTCTCCTAACTCACATTGCCAGTGTAAACTTTTGGAGCAGTCATCAGAAAAGCATTGCAGAAGATGTTTCTGCAGTCACAGCAAGTGGAAGAGAAGATGAGAAGTGTTGATGTCAGCACATAATGAGGGCTGTACTGCTGCTCAATCCTATTTTGTTTTACCCTCTCTGCCTGCTTTGTTATCCCAGATGTCAGGTCTTCAGGGGGCTGAAATTGAGTTAAAGTCTTCTTCATTAAATGGCTGGATGGCTTCTGGGACTGTTTTACCCTTGGGTCACGAGTGGAAATGGGACCCAAGGTGGTCATGTGTGCAAGGTAAAGCTATTTAATAGCTATTTAGTGATGTCTAGAATGGCCAAAGTCCTGATAACTTTAATACTACTTAAGACAGCATCTCTTTATAGATGCAGCCATCATAACTGATGCTAGTCAGTCATCAGCAGTGAGGCCAAAGAGTCCATAAAAAGCTGAGCTCCCTAATCAGCGTGGAGATCATCCTTCTAGACATACAAACCATCACGAGTGAATTTAAACTGCTTTGTCTTGTAGCAAATGAAAGAGACTTTTTGCAGTACATCGTGATCAAAAAGCTGACTTCTCCCAGCATCAGATCGATGCTCGCCTGTCATGTATAGTCTTTGGCTCTGTCTTGTTATCTTGGATACATGACGTGTTATCTGTGTTTGTTTAAGCAAGTCTTTTCTTCTGAGCAGGTCTGCATTGCTGGGAAGACATTGACAAGTTAAATTCTTTTCCCAAGCTCGAGGAAGTGAAATTGCTAGGAATCCCTTTGCTGCAGTCCTACACCACTGAGGAACGCAGGAAGCTGCTAATAGCCAGGTCTGTTCCTTGTTCATTCTGCTCAGCAGAAGAATTACATGGCAATGAATGGCTGGGAGTGGGTAATTGGAGGAAGAGGCTGTTAGGAGACAGGGTTTGGTGTGAATTCACCACTCAGAAGGATGTGAGCTTTGGTTTCTTTATTGTTGTGTTGGAAAATGGGAGTAGTGGCAATGTTAAGTCTAATTTATCTGCTTTTCAGCAAATTTTGAGCCTGCTACATACCCATGCACATGATGCACATGTGAGATGAAAATACTTGGATTTGAATGCGGCGATGACTGTCTTGTCAGTCACCCTGTGGGTTTCTCTTCTTGCTGACTGTATTTCTTGGTGTCTGCATGCAGGTTGCCATCTATCGTCAAGCTCAATGGAAGCATCGTTGCCGATGGGGAGCGAGAGGACTCGGAGCGATTCTTCATCCGGTATTACATGGAATTCCCAGAGGAGGAAGTCCCATTCAGGTATGCAGCCCTTGTCATGGAATGGAGAGCAGGGGCAGAAGGGCAGCAAGGCAAAAGGAAAGGTGACAGAACAGATGGTGTTATATCAGGCTAGCTGTTCCATGTCTTGCCTTCTCAATCTGTTTTACTTCATGTTGTATTAGCACATTGTCTGATGACTTGTAGAATCACTTCTGAGTCAAGTTTCGTCTTAAAGTGTCCATGTCAAGTGCCATTAAACAACGTGACTGTTCAATTCATGATCTTCACTGCTTCCTGGACTCCCTGATGGCTAGCTTCATAATCCACCTGTGTTTGGGAGTCCCCACAAGCCAGTACAAACGTGTTCTGTGGTGCCAGGCCAGGGCGTCTAATTCTCTTGACCATCTGGTGTGTGGAATGTGACTGGTGATGGGATGCTGTCCCCTCACTTTCAGGCCCACAAATCGCAAATCTGATGGGTTTTCTGTGCCAAAAAAGTATGCCCAATGATCCGTTTATCTTGGTAAACTAATGAACTTTGACAGATGCTGTTCAGTTGGTATCTTCTCTGTGCCAGCATCTACTTACTGCTTCTTAATGAGCTGAGGAAGGATCACGGGGCATCAAGCCATTGGCATGCCTTTTGCCCTGGAACTCTCATGTGCTTTACAGACAACAAAGCTTCGGAGCCATTTCTTTGTGGAAAGAGGGTGGGATAAGAGTGTGTGTGTGTTTCCAGACAGAGGAAGGGACAAACTGAGGTAGAGAAGGTCAAAGGTATGGTCTGGTACGGACGAGAAAGGTGCTAATGGAATCTGGTTGGTGTTTCCTCCAGCTTAACTCTGAAGTAAAATGTCTTCTGTCTGCATATGTGCCCTGGTGATACAGTAAGGGTAAGGGAAGGCTGGAATAGGAATGAGGGCATGGCATTTCATGTGAATACTAATAGGTCCAGCAATTACTGTATTTGTTAAAGGCATCCTGGTGTCAGTTTAAAGGCGAAGGGTACTAATGTAGTCAGGGAAGCAAGACAGCTGGTGATCCCTCTTGTGCCTTTTTCTGAGGACAAGCCCTGCTTGTAATTTTAAAAGTCCTTGAAGCAGAAAAATGGGAAGAATATTGGCAGGAATTGCAGCAGAGGCGGAGGATGCAGGGGAGAGGATGGGGAGCCGGGGACCATGAGCTCATGGTGCTGCTCCTAAAATGGGTTATTTTCCGTAACGTTCTATTTCTACCAAACCTGTTCTGTGTCCCTGTGTTCCTGGCTCTAGAAGGGGAGAATAACGATGTATTCAACTGCAGACTGAAAGGGGAGCTAAGGTATGAGTAGCCCTTTGATCCTGGTGGAATGCGTGTGCATTACCGAGCTTGCCAGGGCTTGTGCATAAGAGGGCAACTAAATGAGTTCATGTCAGTCTCTGTTTCTTTTCCTTGTGTCTCTGGGTATTGTGGTGACAAGTTTTTTGTATGTCCAGGACCCATATATTGTTGAGAAGGATACAGTGGGATACGACTTGATGATACTGTTAGGATGTGGACTTTGGGAACAGGCTGTGTGCATGTAGTACCACATGCAGCTAGGGTCAGTTTCCAGACAGGAGCTCATGTAAGAAATAACTGGTATCTCATCCCATCCAAAAAAGCTGGGTATAACCAACATGCTAGCTTTATGCTATTTCACTAAGATACAGGAGAATTACCTCCCCCTTTGATTTCTTAACCTTTAAACACTGTTACTGCCCTTTTCTTGGTCAATGGGCTCTTTGTCTGAATCCCTTCATCTGTGAAGCATTTCCAAGGGACTTAAGCAGCTACTAAAGAGGGTTGTTCTGTTCTGGAGGAGTTGTGTGCCACTACAAGCTATTTTCTAACAAGGCTGCAGATGGCTGAGAGTGTCCCTAGTGCCGAGGGCTGGTTTTCAGTTCCTGGACCCATGTGCAGCAGCCCTTGTAGGAAGGGAAAGCTGGCATTCTCCGCAGAGTGATTCCGTGTGTATTTGTTGCTGAAGCTTCCTCTTATTTGCTTCCAAATCTGGTGTGGTTTCTCTGAAGGTGATTCATAATTAGAGTCTAGTCAGGACACATGCATGTTCTTGCTGGGGTATGGCATCTGCATTGCAGTGCTGCCTCAAGCAGAGGAAGAAGACACAGTTGGGCATGGAAACCTCACGAGTGTAAGCAGCCCCCCGCAAGACTGCCGAGGTGCAGCATGTGATAAGTGAACAGCACACAGCAAACCCCTCTGCTTGCATCGCATGTCTTCATGGGCTGCAGCTCAAAGGGATCAGAAAGGAGGGAAATGGAAAGAGTAACCTCTCTCTGGATGTTGTGGGTTAGAAAGCAGTGCTGAGCCTACAGTCCAATATTGGCTGTCTTCTTGATTGACGTCTTTGTGTCTGTGGGTTTTTAATGAGTCCTCCGCTTGCCTGGTCTGCTGTTTATCTGCAGAGTATCAGAGACACTTTTAGCCAGGCTCAGTTCTTCAGCATCCTCTGCTCTGGCAGCCAGCGACTGCCAGGCTGCAAGGGGTGATTATGAAAGTCTCCAGGGTGCCTATTATCGGGGTACAAAAGAACCATATGAACAGAGTGCCTTCGTTCTTACTGATTTGAGGGAAGCCAGTCATTCAGGCTTAACTTTATTTGCAGGCTGCAGCTAGTATACAAGGAGCAGGCTTCAAACCTTGTTCTGCATTTCCTCCACATGAGAAAACATAAGACAGCATTGCCTGACCCTCTGCATACTTACAGCATGCATTTGGGTAATCTTAGCCCACTCCTGGTGCTTCTGTCTCTCAGCAGGCTTGAAATCTGTCCCCCTCTTTATACTCTTCCCACCATCAGCCCTGTTCACTGCAGTTTCCCCAGGCATGAACTACTTCTAGTTGGCACATACGAATGGTTGCAGCATGTGGAGATGATGAGAGCTGAAGGGATATCCCAAAATGGTCTGCAAGCAGCAAAGGGCAGGTTTGCTTCCTATTCCTCTCCTGACCATATCCTTCCAGAGGTGTTGGAAACTGTGCTGCAAAGATCTCCTCTCTGCTGGCGACACATTGGCTACCACTTGCTCTTACTGCAGGCAGTAGCCCAGTGGGTAAAATGTGGGGAGTGTGCTGTCTCCTTTCAGCACTAATGGTTTTTCTAAGGAAATAGGCCTGATCCTATCGTTCCGCAGGTGAGTGTGAGAGCAGGGCACCAGCCTGCCTTTGGATGCTGTGCCTTAGTGAAAGCCCGTTTTGTCTGTGAGACTGGGGAAATCCTAGTGCGTTGTGGCCCTTACCTCATTTCCCTGCAGACAGAGGGTCTGCTGTTCTTCAGGAGCATTCCTGTCCTGAGCAGGACTCCCTGGGGTCACCCAGCCTGCCAGGTCCCATCATCGCTCAACAGGGGCCGTGACACAGCGCCGATCGCATTCAGCTCGGGCTCGTCTTGGGAACAAAAAGAGCTTTCTGTACAGCACGTAGTGGAGGGCCTCTGAAACGTTACCTTTCCCAGCAGCTCTTGGTCTTTGTCATTTCAGTCACATTGTGTTTTGTGTGGTCGTTTCGCCTCTTTCCCAGCCAGGCAGGGGAGATGCAGACTTGGAGTGATACCTGCTGAAGGGAGTGGGAGGGTGAGATGGGCTTTCCATTGCAGGAGATGGCTCCCGAGGATGGGCCTTGTGAGGGACAGCTGGAGAACGTGGCTCCAAGGAGAAAGTGATGGTGCAGTGTGTGGCTCTGCTAGGAAAACTCCCCTGTTGTCTTAGAGAAAGGGAGACTTGTATGGAGAGCGGCTCCATGCAATTTGAATGCTACCTCAGCAGCATTCTTTACTCATAAGAGCCTCATCCATCCTTCCCATCTTGACTTGAAGTGCCAGTTAAACTGCAGGATATTTCAGAAGAGCCAGATATGGAGGATGAGGAGAGCTCGTTGCTGTCTGGATTCTGGTTTAAGCTCCATCAGACTTCCAGGTTTCACATGAATCACACCCTGGGACCTTTGCTCACCCTCTTGTCATCCAGTCACTGTACTCTCCTTGCCAATGTTCGCTTATGCTTTGCAGCCTAATAGCATCCTTGCATCAAGTGGCAGCTCAAGTGAGGTAGAGTCATAGTGTGAAACAGAAACTGACTCGTGAAACACTACGAGCAGCTCTGCTGTAACTCTGGACACACTTAATTTTACAGGTATCACGAGCTGGTCACGAAGTACGGGAAGCTGGAGCCCTTGGCAGTGGTGGATCTTCGGCCACAGAGCAGCGTGAAGGTGGAGATTCACTTCCAGGATAAGGTGGAAGAGATGTCGATCCGTCTGGATCAGACTGTGGCAGAATTGAAGAAGCACTTAAAAACTGTCGTGCAGTTGTCAACAAGCAACATGCTGCTCTTCTACTTGGACCAGGAAGCTCCCTTTGGTCCCGAGGAGATGAAATACAGCTCGCGAGCACTGCATTCCTACGGCATTCGGGATGGAGATAAAATTTACGTGGAGCCCAGAATTAAATAGCCTCTTTCGGGTGCACACACGTGCCCCCCCACACCCACACACATGCATTAAGGAGTTTTGGCAAGGTTTTTGTTTCGGTTGGTTGGTTGAGGTTTGGTTGTGTTTCTTTAGCAGGTGATTTCTTAGCCCAGAGGACGTGCCCTGATCTGAAAACCATGCCTGCCATCCACTGCAGGTGACCTTGAGGTGACAGTTGACTTCAGTGCGTGTGTTTCAGTGTGTGCAATACCTTGATGTTTCCTTTGATGCTCCGGTATACTCGTGATTTGGCATGAATGGTCACTTCTTCAAGCTAAAGGGTGCTAGGGTCCATAAGGGAGATGATAGCTTGGTGCAGAATTTCACCTGTTGTTTTCTCTGTCTAAATTGTTAGGGTTTGGGCTCCACCAGAACACCCTATGGCCTAGCTATCCAACTGTGGCTCGAGCTTGCTCAAGTATCTGTTTGCAGCTAGGTGCTGTCTCAACCTTTTGTTACGCTCGAGTTCAGTGACAAGATCTAAAACAGTATTGCGCTTGATTCAGAGCTCAGGTACTTAGTGCATCCACTTAATTCCACTGGATTGGGTTAGATGAGTGCACAAAATGGGGAGAGAAAGAGACCCTTATTAGAAAGAAACAATTTATTTTCAAAATGCACACTTTATATCCATACTGTCCTGATTTTTTTGGGGGAAAAAAAAAAAAGTATTGATTTCTCTCCTGGGAGAGAGTAAGGGGAAAGATGAAGTTTGTGTTTGTTGCTGTTGCACCAGAAATGAAACCTAGCACTGTCCCCCAGGGGTTCCTAGCTGCGGGGTCCCAGCTAAGGGTCTGAACTAGGAGAATGTGTTGGCTCAGATCAGTTTCTAGAAGATGAGTGACAAAACAACTTTATTGTAAAGCAGGTTTTCACTCTCTCTATTGGCTTCCCCCCTACATGCACCTCGTAGGCATCGCAGGCTGCTGCTTAAATTAGTCTCCATTTTCTACTGCAGAGCAGATTCCCTTTGTTGTGCAATGAGATCCTCCTTCCTTTATCTCTCTTATGTCCCTTGTTCCTCTGTCCCCTTGACAAGTTGAAGACCTTTTAGATTGCCTACTCATAAGCAGCTACATACAAGTTTTTGAAGCTGTGCAGTGAGGGCTCGAGTTACATGTGAACTTCTGACCTGAATGTTGAAACGCTCCCTTCTCCCCATGTGCACTTTCTTTCCCATAATGCTTTTGTCCATATCACCAAGCTCCTTTTATATTCTTGGAGTTGTGTATTTCTCTTCATATTTTACCTAGATCGTGGGGTGGGGTAGGATGGGGAGGGGAACAAGTATTATCTCATAGTCTTCAGGTTGGGGATGTGGGGACCAGTAAGAGCGGAGTAGTTCTGCATCCAGAGGAATGAATAAAAATGGGAGGATTTAAGACAAGTTACTAATTTGTGCCTCATCTCCCTGCCAAAAATGTCAATTTCCCAGCCCTGTTGAGATGAGCAATAGGAAATGGAGCAAGACTCACCATTAGTAGCGTAGAGGCTGTGGCACATACCTGCAGAGCTGTGGTACCCATAAAGCAAAAGAGCAGGGAGATGGTGGCAGTGTAACATAAGATGATGCTTTTATAAGCTAGAGCTTTACTGAAGATGTATTTTCCATTTGGGCAGTGAAAGGCATTTGCTGCCTCATAGCAGAACTCTTAAGCCAACACTTCTGTATGATATATACATACATAGGCATAGGAAAAGTTGTGTTTAATAAGATATTTTGTTATAAAGCAAAGTTTTATGAAGATATGGTTGTTTATTATTAGAAGCCTATTTCTCCCCTTGACCTCCAGTTTAAGTAGGTTATCTCTCAGTCGCTGCAATGTCAGAGGTAAGTGACCGATGAGGATGCAAAAGTGTCTCTGACCTAATTCTATAGAGCAGTAATTACCCATATGGGTATGTTTATGGCATTGTAACTGGTATTAATGAGATGCTGTACTATTGACCAACATCCTCAACACAATTAAATGTCTCGGTTTCAGAAAAGGAAGTAAACACCATTAAAGAGTGGAATGGGATGTTAAAGAAGTGCCAAGTATGTGCTTTGAAGTTTGTTCACCCACAGTTTAACCAGTCTGTGGAGGGACCAGTGCTGTCACTGTGCCAGCTCAGAAGAGTCAGTACTCATGCTTTTATTTACGGTGGACCTGGTGGGGACAGGAAGAGTGGAAAAGAGAACACCTACAGGTATGCAAGGTGACAAGTGCCATGGAGCTGACAGGGATTTGGTGCTAGCACCCAAACCTGCTCCCCTGGTTTGTTCAGGTCAGTAAGTCGTGGTATGAATACCACTGCCTTGTCACTTTGTTAGGGGAAGGTTGTTTCGGGATGATGTTCTGAAGCAGTTCACATTCTGCGTGGCTAGCAGAGCACTTGTGGGCTGGAAACCAACAATCCTGGTTTGCTTCCCGCATACAAAGAGTCGTGTCCAAATCCAGGGACAGTTTATGTGTCCAGATGGTTGACTTTGAAAAGTAGGGCCAAATGGCACACAACTGATGTGGCAAAATACCCCAGGTCGGCTTGCTTTCCTTTTGTAATGCCTCCTGGGAAAAGATCTTGTATGTGTGCCGTGTTACTGCTAAGAGGGGACAGTGTCAGTGGGAAAGAGGGAGGCCTCTGAGCGAGAGAGGAGATTTAGGGCTAAGGATGGGTGCCGAGAATCTGTGAGGGTCCTGAGCTAGCAGGAGGCTTGATTTAAATCAGTGTGATGTCCTGAGGGGCTGTGACCTGGTGGTGTTGGCATATACCTGCTTTAGGAGAAGGTCCCTGGATCTATATTACACAATAGATTTGCAGCCTTCTCTAGCTTTTGTTTCCTTCTATCCGAGGGCTACTTTTGTCAAGAACTGTTTTGTTGTTCGTGCTAGTTCATGCATAGCAGTGGGCAAAGCACCTGCTTCGGGAGGAATTAGGTGACAGCTATATACCAAAGTGTCGCACGGCTCCTTGTGTTGAGATGAGATGCTGTGCTGTTGTGTTTTTTTGGATACATTCCTATTGACTATCCATGTTTTGACCAGATGTTTCATGCGGATCGCTTAACCGGCGATGTGATGAATATGCATGGCGTGACGACTGTCCTCTGCTTCCTCGCTGGGATTTGTAACCCCCATTACTGGGAGTTGCACACATTCCGGTGGCAGATAATTGTGTGGCCCGTGGTGGCTCAGAGGAGCTGAGCCTAATGGTGCTCGTTGCTTCTGGGGATAGGCTCTTGGTTTGCCCTCGCCTCCGCGGGTCTGTAATCTGATGAAGGCGACTTGGCGGCTCTGCCTCCGTCGGTTGCTGTTCTTGCTTGTAAATGAGATTCTGTAGGTTCTGTTCGTGTATGGAGTTGCAAATGCAAACGAGGTGCTGAAAGCAGCCCAGGGGCTGAAATATGTATTCCTGGCAGCTGTGCCTCCCTCATTTGAATGTGGCACTTCTGTAGGCGGTAGAGAGACGCCTTCCCCAGAGCAGCGTTCGAAGGGCTTTAGCCATCTCGGGCCTTTGCCTCTGTGATTGCTTTTCTGCAGTTACTGGAAACTTGAGCTGTAATTTCAATGTGAAGGTCTATTCTTGCTCCCTATTAATGATGCATCCATATGTAATTTTAAAGAAAAAGGAAGAACTCTTTAAGTCCAGCTTGTTTTTTACTCTGGTTTCTCTCACAGGGGATATACTTCCTGCTCCCACAGTTTGCCTTTGGTTTGCTCGCAGACTTAGCAGTGGAATTCAGGCCAAATAGGTAATTGGTTTGGATCAGTTCAATAAACTTATGTAAGTTTTTACACAAAACAAAGTGTCCCAAGTTTTGCACTTTTGTGTTCCCTCCCTCTCACCTGTATGTTTAACACACACCTTTGGCAGGCTGAAAGCTGCTGAGATTTCTTTGTCCTGCTGACTGTTCCTGCCTTCTGTCTGCCCGAGGAGCTCAGGCAGAGCCACCTCAGTGTGTGACATGTGCTTGTTGAAAGGAGAAGTCAGGATGCTGGAAGACCTAATCCTCTTCTGGACTGTATTCCTCCATGGTGGTTACTCATCTCCACTCCAGGTGCTGAAGAAGGCTCCAGCTCACTCTCTGTTACCTGCTTCATGTCCTAAGTGGGTCTGGCCTAGAGGTTAAAACAAATTTCACCCTCGAGATAAGGTTTGTAGGTGGTGATGGGGAGGGCAGCATCCCCACTAAAGCAGGAGTCATGAGCTAAGCCTGTGCTGGCCTGTGCCAAATGACCTTGGGGATTCTGGATGGGATGCAGTCTTCCCTGGACTCAGCCAGGTCCCTTGGAAAGGGAATGCAACAAGGCTCTTCCTGCAGTTGTTTTGCTGAAGTCAAGCAGCCAGAGATCCCCTTATCTCATCTTGCAATGCTGAGTTTTCCTTGAGGTCAGGCACGGGAAGGAGGTTTTCTGGTAGAAGGATAAAAAGAAGAGGGAAAGCAGTTGTTTGCTCAGCATTGCGTGATGGGAGCATCCCCTGCCAAAATAAAATAGCCTAGAAGACAAAGTCTTCCCCAAAGAGACTGTGAAACCTAATCAAAATTCATCAGTGTAGACTTGCCCAGGATGAACAGGACCAGAATATTAAGTTGACAAAGGAGCAGAGGGAAACCTATTTTCACTGGTTTTCTCTGTGTTACAAAACAGGCTGAGAAGAGTCAATTGATTTTTCTGTGGCTAGTAACATTCACATCTCGTATGGGATGGAAAGGAACAGCCATGGTGCATGAATGACAGGCTGGAAGTAACTGCCCCTGAAATACCAGTCAATGCTTTATAATGCCCTGGCCCTCCTAAAGTAGTTGTTGGCTTAGAAATGGGGAAAAATACATTAAAAAAGGAAGCTTCCTACTATCAAGGCCATGCTGGGGTGTATGGAGCAAGCAAGCTCTGGGATGTGCTGTGGAGGCAGCACGCTGCCTGGTGCCCTGATGTACTAAAAGAAACTGCTGAGGTAAGATGCAGCATTTTGGGGGTGAACTTGCTAGACACACTTCTAGGAGCAGCCAGGGTCCTGGGAAAGACTCCTGGGCTTCTAGGTGCTTCCTGTTTGGCTGCTGGCATTCCTGTCCTCTCCTGTCCTGATGGAAGGGCAGGGAGTGTGCGTATGGGTAGCGCAGGGTTCTGCCAACTGCGGAATCCATCACCTCTCAGCTGCTGTTCTGCCTCTCTCAATTGACATCAATGGGAACCCAATGAAAGCAGCTGGGATCTTAGGCTACAGATGAAGAGCCTTGGTCTCTGTAACACAGTTTGAGGTTTAGAGCCTGCAGACCTTTGGCACGTACCACTCTCTGGGGCTTACGGTGTTTCCCAGCCTGTCAGCACAGGTTGAAATGTTCACCAAGCAGCAGCCATCACCAAGCCCTGAGAAACAATAAGCATCCTTGGTAGCTGCTCAGCTCAGGTGACCCTCAGCCCATTATGTCGCTGTGGAATTGCAGGCTGCTAGAATGAAAATGGTAATAACACAGCAGCCCCCCAGTGAAGCTTCACACTGAATCAAGCAGAATCCTTCCAGAGAGGGTGGAAATAGGACCAGCAATGAAGCCCTCTCTGGCAGATTTGGAGAGAGCACGCTGCACTGGGTAAGTTTTCCCTTTCCCACCTGTAAAATCAGAAGTAAGTTACAGAAAGTAAAACAAGACTTGGATGGAAAAGTCACTCTGTTGGGACTCTGGGGCACTGCCTTTGAACACTGCTTTAAGCCTAGCACTCTTTAATGCTAATCCTGTAACATTATATAGATGGGCGTGCTTTTTCGCTTACACAAAGGAGGAAGGGGCTCAGTTCTTTTGAGTTGGTCTCTTTTTTTCCCTTCAGCAAAAAGTGATGCTGAGCAGCACAGCCACAAGCCCAGCTCCGGCTCGCTGGCATTTCCATCTGAATCCACCTGAGGGGGGTGAGTTTTCGGGGAAGAAAGAGGCTTCTTTCCCTCTCCAGGCCAGAATCTGATCTGCAGATTAGCTTGCTGGTTATCAATAGAGGCAACAGTTGTGATTGCAACTCAACACTCCTCCGGCCCTGGAACAGCATTGAAGGAAACAGACTTTACAATTGCGAGAGCAAGGGGACTGAGACACCGTTGGCAACGGAGGACCGGGATGCATTCTCCATTGACATAGGATTTTTCCCTGGTCTACCAAGATCTGTCTGAAATTTCAGATTTAAATTGCTCCTATACCTACAAAACAGGTTGGTAATTTTCTTTTCCATGCCTAAAACTTTGTAGTTTTGAAGGTGATATGTTAAGTAACACTTTCTGTATCGTCTGTCATGCTTCCCAAGCTCTTGTTCTTTGACTGGCATAGCTTCCTGTAGTCATTGTGTGCCCAGTCTCTCCTAGTGAATCCACAGTGACTCAGATTTATGATTTCTGTAAAATTCTGTCATTCTCCTTTTGTCTTTCCAAGATTAGTAAAACTTTTCCTTGGGGGATTGCATTTTTCTCAGTGCAGGAAACAGTTGCTTTTGGCCCGTGTTGATGTGAGCGGCTTGCTGAGGAGCAGCAAAGCAGGGAGGAACCTTCCTTCCACTGTGTTTCATGCTTTCTAAGCTCCTGGTAGTGGGAGACAAGTGGAAGGGATGTGCAACAGATGATGTCATGTTCCCTGATGTAGTCCTGTGCTCTATGCATTATGTATGCATGTAGGTATACTTGGAAGGAGTTGGATCTGTCGATCGCCATATGCTATTGAGGCAGACCTATAGGGAGAACACAAAGAGATGCTAGATTCTGTAGGCAGTGTATCCATGCAACTGAAATGCATGGGATGTATAAAGGGGGAAGGCAAAGGTATTGAAACTAAGGCTGTACATAATGCATAGCCAGTTTGTGTTGAAGCTGATCACGTACTTATCCGGCGGGCGCGCACACGCTGGGAGCACACGATACCTTCCTGGGAGTTCTACGTGAGCTCTGCCTGCGTGTAATGAAGGGAAAGCGACAGGCAAAGTAATCAAAGCAGGTGTTTTAGCAATAGTTTCTATTGAATTAATAATGAGTAACAAATTGCATTAGGCACAGAAGGAATTAGAGCTGGCACAGGATTTCGCTTTCATTTTCCCAGCCCTGTATCCGTTTCTATCATTGATTCCTGTACAGCAAGGAGTTGCTCAGCTGTGTAAATGTTTGTGCTTCTTTCACACTTGTCAAAAATGGTGGTTGTTGTGTTAGCAGCCAGCAGAAAGCGTTAGTTGAAGTGGTGCCTGAAGCCCCTTACCCAGGAGGGCCCGCTTCAGCTCTGCATCGGCTCTTGTCTTTGGAGCAGTGCAGAGCTGTTGCTCTTGAAGTGTCCGTCCTCACATTAGGTACATCGGGAAGGAATTGCTTTTGAACTGTCAGAACAGACAGCCCATGGAGAGCCGGGGCTGTCTACAACTTGCAGACACTGCGTGAAATGAGCAGGGGTTCTTCCCTGTGGCTATGGGCTTACTTTGCCAGTACCTGCAGGGTTATTTGCTGGTATCACCATGGAAATCTCATTACACCACTGAACAGAGCAGGTATTTCTCCAGGGTCTGCCTGGCGGGTGAGGGACCTCAGTCTCTGAAGCATGCTCAGGAAGTGATGGCACTCAGCATCACCTGGGGCTTCCTTGAGGATGCATTTTCCCATTGATGTGATAAGTGTCCAGGTTTCTTTCCTTCCGATAGGATGAACAAGCGATCATTTCTCGGGACCTGGGTGGCCCTTTTGGTGATAACTGCACAGCAGCAAGGTGAGTATCTCCTGCCTGGGAGCTAACCAACACCGGTTAGCTATGCTGGGAAGTACAGAGAGCTTGGAAAACACACACAGCCCCTTGGCCGGAGCAAGGGCAAGACCCAGGGTGAACCTAGTGTTCCCTATGGGGAGGGAGGGACCACCAGTATTAAGGGTGGGTAATGTGGCAGATGTGTGCCGCTTGGCATGGGGGCAAGCTGGAGAAATGCCCTCCAGGGCAAAAATCACCACTGGTGGGGGCCTGCTGGGTTGTTTGGCTGGATGAGGTGATGCATATTAAAGTATGCCAGTGTCACACTAGTAGTGCTGAAGTTTCTGCTGAGTTTCCAGTTTAAAGAAGTAGTAAAAAGCCTGTCTCATAGCTAAGCCTCAGCTGTGATAACTCGTCAGGTGCATTACAGCTGTGAAATGACTGGTTTTACTACCTAGCAGCCAGGAGTTTTGCTGTGGCCCTCTGGACATACCTGTGAAACCAGGCTTGCAGCCTGGGCACCATCACACACCACCTCCCTTTATGTCTGGTGGGGCACATGTGTGTGTTATGAAGTCAGGATGCCAGTGTGTTAGGCCAGGCTTCTCTTTGTCTCCTTTCCCAAAGGAAGCTGGACCAGTTGAACCTGTGAAGAAGGGTTAGATGGAGACTCCCTACTCCCAGGCAGGGAGCATCCTCAGGGTGACTGAGAGAGAGCTTGGGCAACACGGAGAGCTCCTCCTGCATCCATACTGAGGCACAGAGCAAGCTGTCCTCAGCTGGAGGCCCTGGAACAGTGCAGGGTATGGGCTAGGAAACCAAAGCATGTCCTGCATCCAGGTGGACAGAGCCAAGTTCAGAGCCTCATGTCGACCAAGACTCAATGTTGTGAGGACAGGGTACTGCTTTTCTATCGCAAAGAGGGGAGGATGGTGAGGAAAACCCAACAAAATCCCCATTTGCTCTGTGATGAGCCACACCAGTCGCTAACTGGAGGAAACAGGCCATGAGATGACAGCAGAGATCTAGTAGGGACTGCAGTGGGAAAGGACACGTGCCCTAGGGCCAGAAGTGCACGCTTGCAACTCAAGCCAATCAGTGGCTTTTATTCTGGTAGGAAGTGTCAGGCTTGTACTGAAACACATCAAAACTGTCTTCTGAAATACCTTTAGGAGAGGCAATTATGTTCCCTGACAGTGCTTTTTAGCAGGAAACCTCACTTTGCCAGCAAACTGTGGAGCTGTTATGGCACATCCACACCGGCGAAGGAGGTGAGGGCAAGGCAGCTATTTTGCTCTTCACAGGAGGTCAACATCAGGGGATAGGCAACACCAGCACCTTGCTGGCACTGCCATGAGGCCTCTCTTCTCACTCTCCTTCCAGCTCACACCATGAAGAGTCTATATCCGTTCTGGCAGAACGACACCAAAACGCCCAAAGTGGATGATGGAAGCTCTCCTGAGATCAAGATCTCCGTCCCATTCGTCTTCTTTGGAGCCCCGTACAGGAGCGTTTATGTAAGTGAAGAAGCAGACCATCCCTTTATTCTTTTTCTTGCCATTAGCAGCTGCATTTTAAACTCTCTTCCTGTCATCAGGAATTGGAAGATTTATTAGCACCTACCTGACAAGTTCTTAGATTTCATGAACTGATAGGTTTTATGATTAAGAATGTCAAAGGTATATTTAATGGGCTAATGTTCATGAGGAAGGAATATAAAAGGCAATAAATTTTTTGTAGGTGATTAAATGGTACAGCAAAGCTAAGGCCTTGACACAAGGAGCATTATTCCTGTTACATGACAAGAAATAAGAACATGCAGAGACCTGTAGGGGAAAACATAACTGCAACGGCTTGGACCCATACCTGAGATAAGGAAGGGCTGCTCTGTTCTTAGATGAAAGCACAGCAAAAGGCTGGCAAAGGGGACTTCTTCCTGGCCCTGCAGCCACATGTGTTGTAGGCCAGGGTCTCTCAGTGGTGCAGAGCTGCTCTCCAAAGCTGGGTAAACCCAGAGCTCTCAGTACATAAGACACCTTCTACCCCAAGTCACTCACCTGCTAAACCAGCAGCTCTCTGCTCCCTGCAGAGGCTTGCTCAAACAGAAGCGGGTCTCTGTGCAGGTCAACAACAATGGGGTGATCTCCTTCAATGCACTCGTCAGCCAGTTCACACCAGAAGCCTTCCCCTTGACGGACGGCCGGGCCTTCGTCGCGCCCTTCTGGGCTGATGTGCACAATGGCATCCGGGGGGAAATCTACTACAGGGAGAGCACGGACCCCGAGCTGCTGAGGAGAGCCTCCAAGGACATCCGCAAGCACTTCAAGGACATGTCCTCTTTCTCTGCCACCTGGATCTTCATCGTCACCTGGGAGGAAGTCACTTTCTATGGAGGAAGCAGCACGACTCCGGTAAGAGCCATCAGAGGCGGTGTTTGATGGTTGAGGTTATCTGTAGGTGGGTAAAGCTGTCTTGGCCTTTTTGCATAAACTGAGTTGCTTTGTGTTCCTGCTCCTCAGTTCCCTCTCTACTGTGATATGGCACCTTCATTTTTCCTATGCTTCTGCAGTGATTGAACAGAGCTATTTGTGCAGGAGGCTACAGGGACCTCAAGCAAAAGTCATTTATAATGGAACCAAACTTTTGGCATTAAACAGTAGCTATGTCACGGTATAAAACACTCAAGGCTCCCACTTGCTCCTGTGCTGGATCAGTTCTGTCCACTACAGAGGTGCAGGATAAACTGGTGATGGAGAGAACAGGCTGCAGAGGTGGATACCCTTCATTTTCTCACTGTTGAGAATCTTCTGCTCTGTGCTCCCTTCCCCTTGGTCATCCTCTTGAGGCTGGATTTTGTAACCTGCCCTTCCCTCTCCACTGCCCATTTCTATGCAGGATCCAACATGAGTCTGCTCTGGTTTGCACCCTGAGCTCACCTTGCAAGGCTTCAGCATCTTTGGAACGAGCTTTGAAACAAGCTTTGCTCCTTGCCTGTGTGAGGAGGGAGGGCTGCTCCAACAGAAAAGGAGCAGGAATCTGTGGTAAATTAAGTTTTGGAAGTAATACAGTTTCCAAGGAGCTGGAGAAAGGAAAGAGAAAATGAGAGTTTTAATATGTATTTATTTGGCAAAAAAAACCTTTTCCTTTCAAATCATGATGTCTTTTTCGGTGGCAGAGGCTGCAGTGCTCTCTCCAAAGCACTAATCCAAGAGTGTGGTGAGGGCATCTAGAAAAGGGCTGAGCGGTTGTTCTGTTCAGATATTGAGGTAGAAAGGGAAAAGCCAAAGGGAATACTGATGGCATTTTTGTGATGACAACTGGTCTGCCTGCAGGGGCAGCCTGATCCAGGCTGACCAGAGGGTCACACTAGCAACCCAGTCGTGGTAGCTCCTCTGTTTCCATACAAGTGCAAGATGTATCCCAGTTTGGAGACAGCAGTGTGATGCTTTCGAGGGCATGAACAGCTTTTAAAAACCTAGTTAATACGTGAGCTGCAAACACAGCTGATGTCAAAAGGTCCATGCCAGACCACTGATGTGGTGCTGGTAGGGCCCCTGTGGAAGCTTGGGGCACAGATAGCGAGCGAAGGATCACTGCTGTTGTTTGGGGACAGGGTTGTTTAGGATTAGCCTGTGTGCTGTGAGTGCCAAAAGCTGTCGTCTTCTGTCCCAAGGAGCTGGCTCTGATAATCAGTTCAGTTCTTTTCCATTTGTTAGAGAGGCTCGAGATTTAATGCATATTTTTTGCCAGTCCTGGCAGTGCTTGCAGAAGGAAATAATACATATATATATATATTTGCAGACAGCAAGCAATAGAGAGATTCGTGTGTTGCCTGAAGAATTACATTTGCAACACAATGCAATTTATTTTGTTATAGAGCAGCCTTCCCGTTCAATAGCAGCCAGGGCTCCGGGTTGGCACATGGAGCAGCACGATGCAACTTAAGCAGGGAAATCATCGCAGTGCAGAAAAGCTGCAGGAAACAGTTGTGTGAATGTGGCCTCGGGGACACCGCAGTTACTGTCCCCCAGTGACACCTGAGCAAACGGGCTCGGTTGTGAGAGTCCTGTTAGGTGGTCAGGGTGCTCAGTGTGTGTTTGACCATGGGCAACACACGTTGTAAACCTCCTGGTACCTGCTCAGCTCCACCACCCCCTAAGAGGCACCTGAGTGGAGCAGTGTTTGCTCTATGGAAGAGCTGTTGTTGTACTATCAAAGTGATCTTGCTTTGTGATAGTGCATTCTGAGCTTATGGCCATGGGAAAAGGCTTGGGTAAGGTGAGCGAATGTGCCAAGGTGGTGAATGGGAAACCAGACATAGGCAGAATCCCATGGAAAGGATGCAGGAACAGAAACGATGGCTTCTCCTTAGCTTGCGCTCTGCTTGCTCTGGTGTGAATTGCACTGTTTGCAGCTCTGTGAAGCAGCTCTTCCCACACCCCTCACTCTCTCTGACAGCTCCTACAGGCTGCTTTGCCTCCCTTTTCAAGAGCCTAATGTGCCTTGGAAGTGACATCCCTAGTGGCATGGAAATAGTGAGTGCAGGTCCCTGGGCTCACCTTTTAAAGCTCTCTCTGCTTGCAGTGCTTGGGGGCTGCTGACAGGGTAAGCCCCAACACTTGCTAGCACAAGGTGGTTCCATCAGTGTGCTCTCCCATATCATCTGTGTTTCTGTGGCTGTATTTCCTTCAGTTTGCAGTGCCCAGGCTCCTGGTGTTGCTCTTGAGTAATTGAAAGGGGACAGCCCGTGCTTTGTCCTCTGCTAAATTCCTGCTCACTCAGAGGCAGAAGGAGCAGTTATTTATCATGGCATGGTCCCAGTGTGGACTGGTGTAGGCTGGGAAGGGATGGGGAGGGCAGGGAGATACAAAAAGCAGAGAGAAGTATCCCAGCTGGATCTGCATGGGTAGAGGGGATATCTCAAGGGGAGAGGCATCTTCCGTCCTTGGGGTTATCTTCCGAGCTTGGGGCTGTCACCCTTGTTGGCTGGCAAAGCACATTGTCCCAGCCCGGGGCCCAGGCTGGCAGTCACCTGAATGTATCTGGAGTTGGGGGGGCTGGAAATGCAGAGTCATTTTAAGGGAAAGGAAGAATGAGCAGCAGCTTTAGCAGGTACCAAGGGCATCTGTCAGCCAAGCAAAGCAGCTCATAATATACATGGCTGACTTGGATGTAATGCACCGTTAACAGCGTTGTAGGATATGAACGTGGAAGGGAAGCGGGTAAGATAACGTGGTGAGGAATAAAGCTAAGATAGGGTAATGGAAGATAACAGGGCATAACAACCTCAATCCTGCCGACTGCTTTTCCCCGCGAGCTTATTCTCATGCTGCCATCTATTGGCGTTAAGTTGGATCTAAGAAAGTCTTGTCCTGCCGCGTTTCGCCTAGATGGTGCTAGAGATGACGTGTCAGAAGGGCAGGTGAGCAGCGTGAGCAGAGCAGCATTACCTTGTGAATGTGCTCGTGTTTTTCAACAGGTAAACACTTTCCAAGCTGTCCTGATCACAGATGGAGCGTCCTCTTTTGCCATATTTAACTACCATGAGATCAGCTGGACCACAGGAACAGCCAGTGGAGGGGACCCCCTAACTGGTCTCGGTGGAGTGATGGCCCAGGTGAGGCTCTCACTCTCATGTCCACATCTCTGTTGAGCTCTCAGATGGATGCCTGTAGCTTTCCCAGTGTATTTGAGCTCACTCAGTCCCTCAACATCTCCAGCACTGGCCTTGCAATCTCACTGTTGAGCACAGGTGATGAGTGTTCCATGTATATATATGTATATATACATACGTAAGTATACACCCATAGTGCTTGTAGTACCTGTCAAGCTTTTTACTCTCATCCAAACTACCTGAAAACTGAAATCTCTGAAAAGAGACTTTAAAAGTCTGGAGTTACTGTGGGGGACAGAGGGGTATGGAAATGCAGCATCACTTTACCATAGCAAAGATGTGTAATGAAGTTTGCTCTCTTACTTGTTTTAGGCTGGCTTTAATGGTGGGAATATCACCAACTTCTTTAGCATCCCCGGCTCCAGAACCCCAGACATAGTCAATATTGAAGAAACAACCAACGTTAATGTCCCTGGGCGCTGGGCTTTCAAAATAGATGGCAGAGAAATAGATCCAGCCAATGGCTGCAGCCTGAGAGGTAAGGGGGGAATGGCACACGATCACCTGGCAAAACAAGCCTTGGTGCTAGGTTGTTTTCCTTCCTGGGGTTTTAGTAACATGGTATTGCTGTTAAGCCTCCGTTTGTGGGGCCCAGAAGACCCTAACCCAAAGGCAAGGGCAGATAGAGCCTGGGTGTGTTGCAGGAATACAGTGCCACCAAGCCATCATCTCAATTCTTCTCTGTGATGCTGATGGCAGCAGAGGGAAAGATATGGGCACAGCAATTTCCTCTTGCCCCAAGAGTAGGAAAGCTCATGGTGTAGTCCTATTTCCCTTGTTTCTGCAGAAGAAAATCAGGTTTTGGGGGCAGGAGAAATGCCGTGTCCCTGCTAGTGCATGTGTCACTGGCAGCATGAGGATATCAAGGGATTTATAGATGCCCATAGTGACTGCACAGGGACTCTGCTGCAGAGAGATTATTGCCTTACCATTTGACAAATAAAATGTCAGGAACATCGACTTTGCTTCAGGAGTCCTTCTAGCAAGAGAGGACTGTCACTTGCCAAAGGTCACCGGACATGTCACCAATGTGAGACATTTGGCCTCTTTATGGCCAAGGACTGTACTAAAGAAGGTCCATGAGGCTTCAAGGGTCTTGGAGCCCATGGAGGTTTCAGGTCGCACTGTTGCAGCTACTGACCCCAGGAATAAAGGCAAAGGGGCTGAAAGCCTGTCTCAGCTATGCAGGTGATGAAGATGGATAGACCCACCACTGGATTTGTGTTTCACAGTCCTCTCCAAGAGGTGATGCAGTGTGTGGCATTGGAGGGGAGGAGGCCTACCGTGTCTAGTAGCACTTGTGTGCCCAAACCCACACCAGGAAGGTTGGCACAGGAGCCCTCACTAGTGGGTCTTGCTAAGGAAAGATGCTGTTTGTTGCAGGGAAGCAGAAAATAGCTCTTATTTTTGTAGCAGGCAGGGAAGAGAACAAAAAGTTTAGGAGAGGTAAATTCAGGCAACGCGCACGGTGGAAGCCATGCACATGAGAAGTGTGAAAGGCAACCATATGGAAGAGAGGGAAACTCTCACGGGTATTTGCCACCCTTGTTATCCCGTCTTCTCTCTGCCTCTCATGTCTCTCACCAGACAAACCTGCCTCCCTTTATAGTGCCGCCGTGTAACAAGTCTGCTCAGTCTATTGCTGTGTGATCACTCATCATTTCCTGTCGTCACTGGTGTATGGTGTGGAAATTACTTATCAACAGCTCTTTGGTTTCATAACTACTATGAGCACTTTCTGAATGGGAATAAATTGCTTCTGGGCAGCTGATGGCAGACTCGCACTTCGACTGGCAAAGTTATGTGAATGGAGGAATTGTGGGGCTGGCAACAAAGCTGAAGGATGACACGAGTACAGCAGCAGTGCTGGAAATGGCTTCCACAAGGCACAAGCTTTACCAGTGGACTCTCCCTTTGAGGAAATAGCACAAATGGCTTGTGTCCTGCAAGATTGAAGCACAGAGAGGGTGGTAGGTGTTGAAAGCAGGAGGAATAGCCTTAAAGTCAGCCAGCCGGCTCAGTACAGCACTCACACCATCCCATGGACTTGCAGCATGGGCAGGACTTAAAGAGGGGTCACACTGTACATTGAAAATGAAGCTTGTGATCACAGTGCTTTGCTGAGTGGCTCTTGCTGAGAGTCTGCACAACGAAAGCAGCCAAGAAGCCCACAGCAGGATGCTTTGGAGGGCTGGCAGACCCCTCTGAGGACTGACATGGTGCGGTTCAAGTCTGTTCTTTTTAGCATGAGTTTTCCCATCTCTTTCTAGGGCAGTTTCTCCGTCAAGGGGAGATCTTCTGGGACAACGCCAACTGCACCACCAAGTGCCGCTGCCTGGACTTCAACAATGAGATCTTCTGCCAGGAGATGGCTTGCGGCCCCTTTGAAGCATGCGAGCCGAAGACCAAGTTCTTCCAGTGCGTGCCGGTGGAGAGCAGCACCTGCGTGGTGTTCGGAGATCCACATTACCACACCTTCGACGGCTTCCTCTTTCACTTCCAGGGTTCCTGCTCCTACCTCCTCACCAGGCAGTGCTGGCCAGGCTCCCAGCTGCCCTACTTCAACGTGGAGGCCAAGAACGAGAACCGAGGCGGCTCCTCCGTCTCCTGGCTCAGGGATATTTTTGTAGAGGTCTACTCTCACAAGATCGTCCTCCCCAAGGGCAGCTTTGGGAAAGCAAAGGTAAGAGCCCCACTGAAAGGGGGAGAACTTGCTGGGTCAGCTCCTCCGAGGTGGTGGTGAGACTGCATAGCAGCCTGAAGAGCATGGGACATCACTTCTGGGCCCTCTGCATCCCTCGGGGACTGGGCATAGGGGACATCAGTGGTGGCAAATTCCTTTGGCTTACTGATAGCTGTCCTCCTGCACACGCCCCTGACACTAAGACCCTGTAACAGGGCTGTACATCTCCTGTCTGTGTCCCGGTATTTGGGCTCTGCTGTTTCATGCGCTAGCTTAGTGTTTTGGTGTTGTTCCCACAGGTGGATGACTTGGTGGTGTCCCTACCCATCTCTTTGGAACTGGGTGCAATAAAAGTCTACCAAAGCGGCTTGTCCACAGCCCTGGAGACTGACTTTGGCTTGCTGGTGACCTATGATGGACAACACTATGCCTCCGTCTCCATCCCGGGCACGTACATCAACGCCACGTGCGGTCTGTGCGGCAATTACAATAAAGACCCTGAGGATGATGCCCTGCGCTCAGATGGGAGGTTGGCCACATCCGTGCCAGAGCTGGGCGAGAGCTGGCAGGTGCCACATCCCGAACGGAAATGCTCATCCGGGTGCTTGGAGAACTGCAGCCTCTGCGACGCTGCCACGGAGTCGCTCTATTTCACCTCTGAATACTGTGGATTCATCAACAAGAGTGGTGGGCCGCTGTGGGAGTGCAGTGCTGTAGTGGACCCCACTGCCTTCGTCCACAGCTGTGTCTATGACCTCTGCGGTGCTCGGGATAACGGCACTGGCTTGTGCCAAGCCATCCAAGCGTACGCCGCAGTGTGCCAGGGCCTGGGAATCTCGGTGGGAGAGTGGCGCACCCAGACAGGATGCAGTAAGTGTTTGTGTGCTCGGGCCGGGAGTCTTCCCCTCTGGAGTGTGTGAGATGAGGGGAGAGAAATCCAGAGGAGGGAGTTGTCCAGGATGAAGGGAGTCAGATCAGAGCCAGTTGGTCCCTTCTCTCCATGGCATCAGTGAAACTTGGCACACATGAGGCATGATGAGTGATGGAGGCTGGACCAGAACAAGGACACTTGTGTGATTAAATAGCTGTGGGTGACTCAGTGGCTCTGGGGCTGTTTTATGAGAGGAATGGCCAGGGAGGCACAGGAGGGAAATGGAGGGGGCAATTCAAGCTGGGCTCCTGGGTCACTCTGCATTGTCACTGCTGTGGATCAATAGGAAACAGCCCTGAACCATTCTGTAATGTAGTCCTCCTGTTGTTTGTCTCCCCTCTGCACCCACAGTGACAGCTGTGCAGTGCCCAGAGCTCAGCCACTACTCAGTGTGTGCCAGCAGCTGCCCTGCCACGTGTTCAGACCTCACGGCCCCACTGGCCTGCACCTCCCCGTGTGCCGAGGGCTGCGAGTGCAATGAGGGCCACGTCCTCAGCACCGACCGCTGCGTCCCCATACACAAGTGCGGCTGCGACGTGGACGGCCGGTACTACGCCATCGGGGAGTCTTTCTGGGCAGTGGCAGACTGCACAGTGGAGTGTCAATGCGAGGAAGGCGGAGAGGCCAAGTGCTTTAACACGACCTGTCCCGAAGGAGAGGTCTGTGCCATTGAGAACGGCTACCGGGGCTGCTACCCGAAGCGGGAGACTCTGTGTTTGGTGGGGCAGAACCAGGTGCTGCAGACGTTTGATGGTGTTGCCTTCCTCTACCCACTGGAGAACTCTTACACACTGCTCAAAACCTGCACGGAGAAACCTGACTTCATCGAGGTGGACATCAGCCAGAAGAAGCCCGGATCTGCTCCCAATGGGCCACGTGTCGTGCGGATCCAAGTGGTTGGTCAAGAGGTGAAGATTGGAGGCACCAGCCTGTCGGAGATCAAGGTAAGGGTGATGCCATCAAAGTGGTCCCTCCCAGGGCTGGGGGGGAGGCAGTGGCTCACAAGCATGATCCATGTCCCTTTGGAGAAGGGTTTATGAGTCTATGGCACTGGACAATTCCCCCAGGTTGGCACCATGGTGGCACTTAGAGTAACACTGTGTGGGCCCATGAGAAGGTGCAAAGTTGTCACAGCGCTGTTATTATGTTTGCTTGCTGTGTCAGCTCTGGAGACTACTGCATTGCAGTTGACTCCTGCAACTTGTTTTTTTCCCTGGAACAACATTCTCAATGGGGCAGAAAGCAAGGAAGCAGCTGTATGCCCTCACTCAAAGGAGATTCTGGGTCTTGGAGGCTGGCTCCAGGTCATGAAGTGTGTGTTTAGTGTGGTGCGGCCGGCAGAGAGGAGCAGCCATGCAAAGTCACATAACTCTCTCTGAAGTGTCCCGATGTGCTTGCTATTGTAGGTGAATGGCTATGACGTGGAGCTGCCTTATTTCCACCCCTCTGGCCGCCTGGAGATCTACCGTAGTGACAATGGCACCGTGATGGTGTCAGAGGGGCTCCTGGCCATTGGCTACTATGATTCAGGCCTCCTGGAGATCCGCCTCTCCACCACCTACTTCAACTGCACTGGAGGCCTGTGCGGCTTCTTCAATGGTAATGCCAGTGATGAATTCTGTCTGCCCAAGGGCAAGTGCACGGACAACCTGGAGCTCTTCCTGGAGAGCTGGACCACGTTTGATGAGATCTGCAATGGGGAGTGCGGGGACCTCCTCAAGGCTTGCAACAACGACTCGGAGCTGCTGAAGTTCTACAGGAGCCGCTCCAACTGCGGCATCATCAACGACCCCACCAACAGCTCCTTCCTGGAGTGCCACAGTGTGGTCAACGTCTCAGCCTACTACAGGACGTGCCTCTTCCGTCTGTGCCAGAGCGGGGGCAACCTGTCGGAGCTGTGTGACTCAGTGGCACGCTATGCCAGCGCCTGCAAGAACGCAGAGGTGGACGTTGGCCAGTGGAGGAGCCATGGTTTTTGCCGTGAGTCCAACAAAGCTTTTAAGTATCCAGGGTGGGGAGAAGGGGATGTAGACCCCACCGACCTTGGGTGAAGTGTTTCTGGCAGGAGCTTGCAGGTGTACAGAGGTAGAGCTGCTTTCCTTATGAGATGTTATGGTGTTCAGGCTCTCCCCTGCCTCCTTTCTCATTTCTGGTGGGTACCCCGGACCCACAGTGTGCTCCTCTGTGGCCATGTTGGGAGACTCTCAATAGGAGAAGGGCTATTTAGGGGGTAGGCCCTGACAGCACTAACAGCAGCATTAGATGTCCAAAGTCGTGTGAAGGGGTAGGGACACAAGTGCCTAAACCTGGCACTCTGGGACGATTTTCCTATTCTTTTCCCTACCAGTCAACCAAAGCTTGGCTTTGCTATAGAAAGAGCTATGCCCAGTAGAGCTTTCTGCTGTCAAGGAGGCTGGCACATACAGAGCATGTTCTCATGTAGCCTATGGAGAAGAATTGCAGTAGGAATGAGTATGTGTCACGAGCCTGAAGGCAAGGCAGTGCCGCCCCGTGTACTAACAATAGCTTCTAAGCTGTGCTCGTGCTGGCAGAGACAGATTTCCCAGCGAAACCATTCCAGGGTGGCATTTCAGGAGGCATCACAAGTTTTATGTTGTGGTGTAGGAGCATTCCAGAGCTGCAGATGGTGTCTGACAGTGCTGAACGCCACCACCAGAGGATCATTTGAATAACGCTTGATTTCAGCTGTTGCTATAAACTTGCCGTTGATGGGAAAACATTCATAATTCAGAAGTGAATGTGAAAAATCCCCAGTGTGGAGTTGCGTGGTGGGGATGCAGCCCCTGTCTGCACTGTGGAGGTCTGAGGGAGGCATCTCTTCAGGAGCCCTTTGAAATAGAGAGAGGAGGGGTTGGTCAGCACAGGGCTGTGATGTGAGGAGGGTGCTGCAAAGGAAGAACTGGTGGTCAGCAAGGTGCTGGAGCTGTTTCCCTTCTTGCTTTCCCCCCCCCCCCCCCAAATTGGTCGCTGCTTATTTGTTCCCACCTTCTGCCTGTTCCTCCATCCCATTCTGCTGGAGCTGGGAGCTCACATTCCATGTTTGTCGGTCCTGCAGCTCTCACCTGCCCGGAGAACAGCCATTTCGAGGAGTGCATGAGCTGCGTGGAGACCTGTGAGACCCTGGCCACGGGCCCCGTGTGCACGGATACCTGCGCAGAGGGCTGCCAGTGCAACGAGGGCTTTGCCCTGCGCAACAACCGCTGCATTCCCCGTGGTGAGTGTGGCTGCAACTTCGAGGGGCGCCAGCTGGCCACCAACCAGACCTTCTGGATGGACATCTCCTGCCACTTCCTCTGCTACTGCAACGGCTCTGACAACAGCGTCTACTGCGAGAACGTCTCCTGCAAGGACGATGAGTACTGCCTGGAGGAGAACGGCCTCTACTACTGCCACGTCCGCACTGACGCCTCCTGCATCATCTCCGGCTATGGACACTACCTGACTTTTGATGGCTACTCCTTTGACTTCCAGAGCAGCTGTGCGTTGGTCCTGTGCAGCACCATTGCCTGGCCAAGGGCAGAGCGCTCAGATACCTTCCCAGCATTCACTGTCACAGCCAAGAATGAGGATCGGGACACTTCTCTGGCTCTGTGGGTGAAACAAATCGAAGTGGAGGTCTTCAATTACAACATCGTCATCCACCGTGCCTACAAGTACACTGTGCTGGTGAGTATGAGGCCACGAGGGCTATGAACAATTCTCCCTGCCACAGCTCCCAAACTGTGGAGCGATTCCCTAGGCACAAGGCACTGTATGGCTTGCAAGGTTTTCTTGAGGATATAGAAGTGAATACGCTTGGGCTCATCCCTAAGATGCTGCCCAGCACAGCTTTTGGAGGGGGCTTACATTCTGGCTGCCTTGTTTAACGTATAGGCAAGGCCAGCAGGGGCCTTGCTCTGGGAGTGTTGAGCTGCCCTCATTTGTGTCCTCCTGCGGCAGCTCAGACCATCAATCCCACTCATGGTGCATCTTGTTTCCTTCCCCTCAGGTCAATGATGAACGTCTCTACCTGCCCCTGAAGCTGGGCCAGGGCAAAGTAAACATCTTTGCCTTTGGTTTCCATATCGTGGTTGAGACTGACTTCGGGCTGAAGGTGGTGTATGACTGGAAGACCTTCCTGTCAGTCACCATCCCACGTGGCTTCCAGAACCTCACTTATGGCCTCTGTGGCCGCTACAATGGCAACCCAGAGGATGACCTGGTGATTGCAGGCGGTGCACAAGCCGCCAGCATCACCGAATTTGTCCAGAGCTGGGTGAAGAGGGATGCATTCTGCCGTGTGGGCTGTGGTGACCGCTGCCCTGCCTGCGGGAAGGTGGAAGGCTTCTGGAAGCCCCAGCAGCTCTGCAGCCTCATCCCAAGCCAAAGTGGTGTCTTTGCCAAATGCCACAGCAAGATCAACCCCAGCTTCTTCTACAAGAACTGCCTCTTTGACACTTGTGTCGATGGGGGAGCCATGCAAACAGCCTGCAGCTGGCTGCAGAATTACGCCAGCACGTGCCAAACGCAGGGCATTGCCATTACGGGCTGGAGGAACTTCACCTCATGCTGTAAGTGTCACCCTGCACTAGAGCTGCTTCCTGGGATCGTCCACTGGAGCTCAGCCTGTAGAGAGCTAGAAGAGCACCACGTGGAGCACCAGCAGTCATCCCTTACCTCTAGGCCATCGACCCAGACACGTCCAGGGTCCCCATGGCCACTGCCTGGGGATGGCCTTGGGGATCCTCCTTTACTGCCAGATAAGGGGCCAGTCAAGAGAGTGGTGAGCTAAAGCTATACCAGTAGGGCTGGTAGCTTTTCCCTCCCATGCTTGCCAGCTGCGGCAGAGGTATGGGATCATGTCTGGGGCACTATGTTCTCTTGGAGTTGTTACAAACTGTGTGTGGTATAGGAGGAGGAGCAGAGGTGGAAAGGGAGAAGCCTCAGGTTCAGAAGGTATCAGCCTCCCTCTCCATTGTTAAATGAGATTAGTCAGTTTCAAAGCCAGGAGTACATGTTTGCTCTAATGAAGCCACAAGCTCTTGTCAATAAGATTACGATGTGATGTTCAATTAGGCTCCTGAGGACGGGGGCCACGAGCCTCCCTGGCAGCTGATCTGCCTGGCAAATCTGATGGGAAGCAATTGTCTTTGCTAACAAGACTGAAAATTAAATTCATGTCATTGTGCCTTCTAATAAGCTAAACTCGTGGCTCAGAAGGCACTGCTCTCACAGGGCAGGGTGCTGAGGCTGCCAGCCAGCACCCTGAATGCCAGGAATTATCCCTGATGAGGCACAGGGAGAAGTGTCCTGCTCAGGCATGGGCAGCATCCCTTGCAGGCTTCACACTGTGAAAACGTGCCCTGGAACATGCCCCTGTATGAAGAGCACAGAGGCTTGGTACACTGCCTGAAAGGCACCAGGCCAGCATGAGCATCCTTCCTGCAGGGAGTCTGGTGTCGGAGAGCAAGCTTGTTAGTAGGAGAGCAGGGAGCCAGGGTGCAGGACCTCAGAGGCAGCGGTGAGTACAGACAAGTGCTGGACTGCATCATCTTGGACTATGCAGCTGGCAAGTGGCATAGGACAGAGGCATGAAGGCTGCCTTCTGCTTTCAGTTGCATGCCCAGGAGTTTCAGGTCCCTCTCTGGGTAATGTTGCCATGTTGGCAGGGGAGTTGTACCCCCAGGGACACCGGCAGCAGGGATTACAGCCCCATGTGGTGCTGGCTACCTGGTTGGTCTTGTCCAGGGAAGCTGATCTATCATCCCTTTTGTCCTCTGTACCTTTGCAGCCGTCAGCTGCCCCCCCAACAGCCACTACGAAAGCTGTGTGTCCCTGTGCCAGCCTCGATGCGCTGCCATCCGGCTGAAGAGTGACTGCAGCCACTACTGTGTGGAGGGGTGCCAGTGTGACCCTGGGTACGTCCTCAACGGCAAGAGCTGCATCCTTCCCCACAACTGCGGCTGCTACTCCGATGGCAAATACTATGAGGTACGCTGGTCGTGTCCTTCTCTTGAGGCTTTCTCCCACCCTCATTATGATATTTCTGGGCCCTGAGCAGGGGTGGTGATCAGGCCAGGCTGGTACTGAGTGTCACAGTGAGTCTTTGCCAGGGTAATCGCCTCAGTGCTCTGGAGGGACAGGTCCTCTCCTTCACCAGCATCGTGCACCCATGGCCATGTCTGGGGATTGCTCTGAGGTCTGCTGCTTTTGCACTGAGCAAGAGTGAGCAGAGAATAAGGGGCAGAACAGGTAGATATGCATTGACCAGAGGCAGACATAGGTGGAGTAGGATCCATACCGAAGTCCCAGCAGAGGCATGTGGGATGTTTGCTGGGGCCAAGCTGTCCTGCAGTGTCCCAGGTCCTTCTCTGAACTGCAGACCATAATCCCCGTGTTAAGGCTGGGCTTGCATGGCCACTGTTTTTGAGCTCTGGTGTGAGGAGGGCCAGTGTGGGAAGCCTTGATCTGAGGGCCTATGGGAATTATGTTTCCTAGAGGAGTGGGAAAAGTGGTATTGATAACTCCACAAGGCAAGAGCCTAATACCATGCTGGTGATAGAGACTGAGGCTGTCAGTGAGGGAGGGGATGATGCAGTGGGAGCACAGGGCTCGCACAGCTCTAGGGAGTACAGGGGGCAGAGAGGAGAGGGATGTCCTTCCATAGTGTGCAGTGTAGCAAGTCTTTCTGTCTGGCAAAATAATCCATAAGGAGCCAATATTGGGGTACTGTCATGTGGCGACCTTAGCAGATGGGTTGGCAGCCAGCAGGGTGCAGGAAGGAGAGTTATGTAGCATGCTGTGGTTTTGTGCATGCACGAGAGGCGAGGGAAGTTGTGGCGGCAGGGGAGCCACGCAGTTGCCTCATGCCTGTGGGTCTCAGAGATGTTGCAAGGTAGGCGCAAGCTGCCAGCGTGTTCTTTGCACCTTTTCCTCTGTCCTCGTTGCCAGCTCTTGCTTGCCCAAGTGTCCGCAGAGGGTAGGGCAGAGGTCTGCAGCCCTGCTGGCCTGTGATGGGTCCCTCTTTCAGCCCAAGCAGCTCTTCTGGAACGGGGACTGCACCCGCCGGTGCCGCTGCTTCCGACGCAACCTGATCCAGTGCGACCCGCGGCACTGCAAGTCTGATGAGGAGTGCGGGCTGCGCAACGGCGTGCGCGGCTGCTTCAGCACCCGCAGCTCCTTCTGCCTGGCAGCGGGCGGCGGTGTCTTCCGCACCTTCGACGGGGCCTTCCTGCGCTTCCCCGCCAACTGCGCCTTCGTCCTCTCCACCATCTGCCAGAAGCTGCCCGACTTCTCCTTCCAGCTCATCATCAACTTCGACAAGTGGTCCTCGCCCAACCTCACCATCATCTCCCCTGTGTACTTCTACATCAACGAGGAGCAGATCCTCATCAGTGACAGGAATACGGTCAAGGTAAGGTGTTGGAAGGGGCGCCTGCCCCCTCCAAAGCAGGGGCATGGGCTGTGAGGAGTGGGATGGCACATGGGGCCACACAACGGTATCTGTGAGAGCACTGGAAGGCTCTGTCAGTGGTTTTGTGTCCCATTTGAGGTAGCTGTGGAGGTTTGTAGTTGTATGCCCATCCACTTCTTGGTGGCACTTAGGAAGCTGTCCTTTTGAGCAAAGGATACAGATGCTGAAGCATCACTCAGTCTCTGAAGGGCATCATCTGTGGCCTTTTCTTGTGAGTGATGAGTCCCAGGCTAGATCTTCTGCACATAAGTAGGGTTCCCTTTATGGCAAAGCCTTGTGGGTGCATTTAAGGGAGGCAGTGTGATCAGAGTGATCCATCCGGCTTGGAAGAAGGAGGAGGAGTATACGCCAGCCCCTGCCAAAGACAATATGGTGTGTTTTCACAGCTGGGATGGTGGGAGGCAGCCATGGAGCCATCTGTGGGCAACTCACATTTGTGGGCAGAAAGGATGGCAGGGTCACCAGTGCCGTTTCCTCTCCCACATCAGGTGAACGGCAGCCAAGTGAGCATCCCTTTTGTCACGGGGCTTTCCACCAAGATCTTCAGCCAGGAGGGCTTCCTGGTCATCGACTCCAGCCCCGACATCCAGATCCGCTACAACGGCTTCAACGTCATCAAGATCACCATCGGGGAGCGGCTGCAGAACAAGGTGTGCGGCCTCTGCGGCAACTTCAACGGCGACCGGACGGACGACTACGCGACGCTGCGGGGGAAGCCGGCGGTCAGCAGCGTGGTGCTGGCGCAGAGCTGGAAAACCAACGGCATGCAGAAGAGGTGAGCGGTCGGACGGCCCTTCCCCGCTGGGCGGGAGCGGGAGCGGGGCGGCTGCGACGGGAGCCTCCGCGATGTGTCCGGTGCCCACAGCTGCAACGAGCTGCAGTACTCGCAGTACACCGCCGCCTGCGACAACGTCCAGATCCAGGAGCTGCAGAGCGACAGCTACTGCCTGAAGCTGACCGACATGAAAGGCTTCTTCCAGCCCTGCTACGGCCTCCTGGACCCACTGCCCTTTTATGAGTCCTGCTTTCTGGATGGCTGCTACAACCACAAGAAGGTCCAGCTGTGCGGTTCGCTGGCTGCTTACGGCGAGGCGTGTCGCACCTTCGGCATCCTGGGCACCGAGTGGATCGAGAAGGAGAATTGCTGTAAGAGAGCCAGGGTTCAGGGATCCGGGTCCCATTGGGACTGCAGCCGGTGGGAGGGGGGTGTTCTGTGATGGTTGGAGGCACCCGCCTTGCGGTCTGAGAGTAAAGGTTGTGTTTGTGCTGTCTTGTGCTGTTTAGCAGGAGTGGTGGAAGATCCCTGTGTAGGAGCTGACTGCCCCAACCGCAGCTGTGAGCTGGACAACGGTGGGGAGCTGTGTGGCTGCATCGAGCCCCCACCCTATGGAAACAGTGAGTCCTTTTGGTCCTGGCTGCAGGGTTGGTACCGAGCAGCGCGGGTGCATATTTGGCTGTTGTAATGATGGGGCTTTGGGAAGGCGGGTGCTGGGAACCAGGACCTCTGCTAAGATGGGGTTTGTGACCATTCAGGATGGGAGCAAGGAGCAGGTTTTCTGGAGTGCATAATGTGGGCAGCTCTGGCTCGGGAGCACTTTGAGCAGCAGGGATGTTAGACAGGGAGATGATCCTAGCCCGTTTCTGGTGGTGGGGAGGAAAGCCAGGCCTGTGGTGCCATATGTGGTGATGCAAAGCTGTTTTGTCTTCTCCTCTAGCCACCCACGACATCATTGATGCAGAGGTGACCTGCAAAGCTGCCCAAATGGAGGTGTCCATTTCGAAGTGCAAGCTGTTCCAGCTGGGCTTTGAGCGTGAAGGCGTGCGGGTCAATGACCGCCACTGCCCTGGCATCGAAGGGGAGGACTTCATCTCCTTCCAGATCAACAACACCAAAGGCAACTGTGGCAATCTGGTGCAGGTGAGCCAGGCATAAAGCACATGGGCCTAAGGAGCTCAGGGTTATGAGCATTGCCCATCAGAGCCATGCCCAGGGTTAGGGCACTGAGGTGTGCATCAGTGTGTGATGCTCAGGAGGCACTTTGATGGGGTGGGGGTCAGGAATAAGGACTAGCCTAGTAGTTCTTAGCCCTACCATACTGTACCCTTTCTGGCTAGAGGCAGCAGTGAGGCAGGGTGCCCTTGGTGTCACACAGCTCATTTAGGGGCTGAGGCTTTCATTAGAAGCAGGGAAGGAAAGACAGCCTATCTCAAATGACATTCCTTCTGCAGTCCAACAGCACACATATAGTGTACAAGAACACGGTGTGGATCGAGAGTGCAAACAACACGGGCAACATCATCACTCGGGACCGGACCATCAACGTGGAGTTTTCCTGTGCCTATGAACTGGACATCAAGATCTCCTTGGATTCAGTCGTGCGGCCGATGCTCAGGTAGGAGCCAGGATGAGCTGCATAGCTGTAGCCTCTCTTGTTGCAGAGACACAGAAGCACATAGGCAGAGGGGGACATGGTGAGGGTTCAAAGCAGGGCACCAAGTTGAGGGTTCATAGCCTTTCTTCCATCCAAGCTGGTATGTTTTTTATTGATCATTAGTGTGATTAACCTGACGGTGCCGACACAAGAAGGGAGCTTCACCACCAAGATGGCCCTGTACAAGAACTCGTCCTACAAGCACCCCTACCGGCAGGGTGAGGTGGTTCTCACCACCCGGGATGTGCTCTACGTGGGGGTCTTTGTTGTCGGGGCTGATTCCAACCACTTGATCCTGATGCTGAACAAGTGCTATGCGACCCCGTCACGGGACAGCAATGACAAGCTGCGCTACTTCATCATCGAGGGAGGGTGAGTGACCATGGGCCAGGCTGCCCAGCATGCACTCTTGGTTTTTGGTGTGGTGGTTTTTCACCGGGGAGGGTGCTTGAAGGGGTTTTGTTGTGTGATGGAGTCCCAGCTGCAGATAGAAGCAGGCTTCCTTGTGGGACCAATGCCATGGGCACTGGGGCATCTCTATGTGACATGGGGATGTGGCTCGTGAGGAAGCAGTACAGTGAAGTCAGAAGTGCTTGAGAGGGGACATGCTACAGAGGCAGGGCACAAGGCTCTTGTCCATTGGAATCAAGCACAGCAGGACACATGAAAATGGGCCTTGTGGGGGACAAGGACAACCCTCAAGAGAGTGTCCTGATCACAGGAGGGCTGATATGAGCATAGATGCTTTTGCACAGGTGCCAAAACATGAAGGACAATACCATTGGCATAGAGGAGAATGGGGTGTCATTGACGTGTCGCTTCCACGTCACCGTCTTCAAGTTCATTGGGGATTACGATGAAGTTCACCTCCACTGCGCTGTCTCGCTCTGCGACTCGGAGAAGTACTCCTGCAAGATAGTAAGTGGGGCAAGGGCCAAGGGATGGGTGGCTTGCTTTGCAGTGGGTGGAGATGCTGGGACCAGGAGGGTCGTGTGTCCCTCTAGACACAGGGAAGAAAGAGTGCTCTCTGAGCCTGGTCCTAGGGTTCCATTGGGCTGGCTGGAGGGGAGCAAAGAGGGGCTGGACATGAGCAGAGAGTGATGGAAGCAGCATTTATGGGGATAAATAAATTCCCCCCACAGAACTGCCCTCAGCACACAAGGATGGCCAGCGCGTTCGCTGAGGAGACCAAGGAGCAGATCATCTCGGTGGGACCTATTAGGAGGAAGCGTAAGTGTGTGTAACCCCAAGGAAGGCTGCAGGGGTTTGTCTGCCATCATGCAGAACTTGGTGGTGTGCCACAGGGTGCCCCAGGATTCTGGAGCACTCGGGCAAGGGAAGGATGCTGGTCAAATGGGTGTATATGTGGGCCACATTCGGCATTGCTTGAGAACGTGTTCGTAGGGGTCTGTGGCCATCACAAAGGAGATGGCATGACACCAGGGCAGGTAGTAAGAACAGGGAGCATTCTGTTTCTGGCTGTGTGGCCCCATGCTGTGGGTGCTCGTGTGTGTATTCCCCTTTGAGGGTTGTTAGCATCATATTAGTTTGGGGGTCATGGGGGATGACAAGAGGCTAGCCACATCCTAGCATCGTTCCCATGTCATGTGTAATGTGAAGGTGTATCCAGCAGATAATGGGCACATTTCTGTGGGCCCTGTTGTTATAGGAGCAAGTGTGGGAGTGGGGTCTTAAGCAGCCAAGGATTGGGGCTTGGGGTTTTGGAGCATCACTCAGGTGTTCACCTTTCCTCTTTATGCCCAGGATCAGACTGGTGTGAGGACAATGGAGGCTGTGAGCAGATCTGCACAAGCCGAGCGGATGGACCCCTGTGTAGCTGTGTGACGGGGACGCTGCAAGGGGATGGCAAGAGCTGCAGGGGCAAGTACTGGGGATGGTGCCAAAGGAGTTGGGCAAGTGTAATCCCCTTTACTGAGGGGGTGTAGGGGTCAGTAGGGTGGGAAACGTGGCTGGGATGTGCAGTGTGTCATACATGGGAGGGATGCAGAGGGCAGTGAGGTGGATTCTCACCATTCTCATGGAGAAGAGGTGCTCGGTAGTGCAGAACCGGTGCAGTTTGCAGGACAAGTGTGGTATCTGAGGGATGGAGGTGCCATTGTGCATGTGCCAGGACACCAGCTCATGTGGGGGGTGTTGTTGTGTTGGCAGCCTCCAGCTCTTCAGAGGAGCACCGTGCTCAAGCAACCCTTCTGGTGGCAGCCCAGCTCTGGCTGTGGCTGCGTGCAGCTCTGTGGGACCTGACCTCGTAGGCACGGCTCTGCCACCCAGCCAAGGACTGTTCTCACGTCAGCCTGAGTCTTTGTAGGGTAGGAAACAGCACCCCCACAGCAGCCAACTGCTGCCGACCCATCCTGCTATGTGGAAGCAACAGAGGGACTTGACCTGGAGAGAGTATGGCCACGGACATGAAGATGATGGCATGTGGCAGGAGCAGCAACACCACCACCAAGGCAAAGCTTCATGTTTGCTAGCATCAATGTAGGACTTAGGGGGCTTTTTTGCAGGTTTCTGGCATCACTGTGGTACTTGAGGGTGTTTTTTTTTGCAGGTTTCTGGCAACAAAGTGGTATTTGAGGGGTTTTTATTTCCAGGCTTTCCTGACCTATAGCATGCACTGCAGGTGGCCCCCACCCCTGTTGGTATCGTGGGGAGGGCTGAAATGTGTGCTGCCCCCTTGCACATACAGCTTGGGGTACTCATCATCCTCAGGGGCTGCTGTCAGTGCCTTCTGAGTGCACGGACTCAACCAGAGGTAGGTGCTGCAGTACGGGTCGTGGGCTGGAGCAGCACGGCATCATTGTTGGATGTCGTGATGCACTGGGAGCATGTCACCCTTTAGCTCTCCAGAGCAGAGCTGTTGTTGAGGATGCAGTGGAAAGCTGAGCTTGTCCCTGCCAGTCTGGGAAGCTCGTTACTGTGCTGTAATGGTGAAAAGCCAGTCCCAGTGTTTGTAAAGAGGTGTTTTCTCGTGAGCAGGAGAGCCAGAGGAATAAGGGATGGAATTCTCCGCTGTGTTTGCGTGGTGCGCCGTGGCAGAGGGTTTTAGAGGGCGAGGGCAGGGTCGGGGTCCACTGGCATGGGCTGCCTGGTGGGACAGTTGTGAATGGCCCTGTGGGGGGGCTGTCTGTCTGTGTTGGTGTTTGTGTCTTATGTTTGTACTCAGTGACACGGCTGCGTGGGAATAAAATGTGTTGTAATCCTTCGTAAATGGTGTGGTCCTGTGTGATTGATGGTGGTGAGGACGGGGAGAGGGTCCCCACGAGGGGTGAGGAGCAGTGGTTTGAGGGTATTGGTCAGCCTTTAAGAGAAGCAAAGGAGCAGGCATTTCTACTGTGTTCTAGGTCAAGTGAATGGGACAACATAGAAGCTGGGCTGGAGGGGGAATTAATTCCTTGTGGATCTCAGAAGGAAAAAGCAGTTGTAGTATCTCTCTGGAAGTGAGATCACACTTGCCAGGAAGATTATAGAGCCATGGTTTACATATGCAAGGACAAATAAGTTAGTTACATTTAATTGGTCAAAAGTTAGCTAATATATGATTAATTAGTAGTCTGTCTTACATGGGGTAAATTGCTCTTGCTTGCCATGTAACTTAGATAGTGTGCCCCATGATGGTGTTTGGGGGCAAGCTTTTTTGGTTCTGAATTGAGTCAGTGGTCACAGTCTATCCCTGCCACCGTTCTATTAGACCCAGTTACTGCCTTTTCTTGTAGACTACTTTATTTTGTAGTACTTGTACTTTTGTAGTGCTACTAAACAAATCTTAAGGATAAGCTCAGTGCTGTTTTGTCTTCAGCACCTTCTGGTGCAGGTGTTGTCCTGTTATCAGTCCTTTAGCTCTTTTTCCCAGGTTAAGGTAGTTAAGAATGTATTGCTTATACAAAGTCTTGTGTTTCCTAAGTGCTGGTTTTAATCTCACCAGACATCATTTGCACCATGGCAAATTCCATCCCTCCCCCCCACCTTTGAGCCTATGAAATGATGATTTGAGGAGTCTCTTAGATTTCACTATTATTTCTTTTATTAAACTGCATAGGTTTAAATGCAGAAAACCAGTTAATCAATCATAGGTGCCCCAACCTCTACATAACCAAGTTCTATTTATTTCCCCAGTGCAGTCTATCTGTTCATGACTTTATCAGAGTTTGAGCTCCCCAATCCAGGCATCTTGCGGTCATCAGATTCCAGTGCTGCCTTTACTTGTGTGTCATGGATCCGGGAGCTGATTCCTTCCACATTCACTGCAGTTTAAGTTTTCAGCTCAGTGTCAAGGCTTTTTTACTTCTTTGAGTGTGTCACCCTTCCATGTTTAGACAAAGACTGTCTCCTGCTTGGAACGGGTGAGTCAGCGTGGCCAAGCCAAGCCTGTTGCTTTAGGTACCTGTGTAGCGAGAAGAAAGTCTATGAAATAGTCATCAAATGTACTTTTGTATGCATTTGGTCCCCCTTAGCATTCAAAGAGTTAATAAGATATCCTTTCCCACATTCAAATTCAAAGGGGCTATCTAAATTTGCAGAAGCCCTATGGGCAATTCCTGTCCACTTTAGGTGTGTTTCTTGGCAAAGTTTAGCAGTATGAGGTCCTGATTCATTCTTTCCACTTCCCTTTTGGAGATGTAATTTCCCATTTAACTTGTAAAAGCTTGGACAACACTTGTACTATTTCTACAATATAATGAATCCCATTATTGTAAGAGATACTTTCTGGAACCACAAATCGGGGTATAATTCCTTTTAACAAGATTTTTAACTACATCTCTAGCTTTGTAGGTAGGAAAAAGGCATTGATCAATATCAGAAACCATTTCTATCGATTACAAAAGGCAATCCTGAAAGGTAAGGTGTATTTGCAAGTATTCCCCAGGACTTATTCCTCATTTTACAAGTCCTTCTATGACTCTCATGAGCTTCTTGTCTATTTTGGGGTTATAAGCGCACCAAATGGTACATTTAGCTCTTCTTCCAAGGTTAAAACAGCTAGTACGGAATGTATTGCATAGACAAAGCCAGGTGGTTAAAAGACTACATAACCGACCATACAAAACTCTTTGTTACTTGAACTATGAATATTTAAGGGTAAACTACTATCAATGCACTGAGTATGTGATTTCTACAGGGAGGGTGGTCAAGCAGGGGGAAAGGCTTTCTAAAGTGCTTATATCCTGCACTAAAGGGTCTTAAGGATAAGATACACTCAATGCAATTAATTTTATTAAGTGTTGGATATGATTTTTACTGAGGTGACAGAGTCGGTCAGGCTGCTTGAATTACTGAGATCTTGCAATATATATAAATATACTAAAATAGATATATGTCTCTATATAAATAAATACCTATTATATATAAATACATATATGCATATATAACAGTACTTGAATATAATAGGATATAGATTCATTGATTTGTATTTTTATATATTCATATATCAAAGGGTATATTTTCATTTATACATAATAATATAATAGGGTATACATGTGTGTGTATATATACACACACCCCATACCTATATATGCATGTATAATTTATACCCTATTACATGTGAATTAATATATTTGTATACAAAATGGGGTGTATATTTATTTATTTGTACTTATTCATGTATACTTGTATAGGATATAGATTCATTTATTTGTCTTTATATTTATTAATATATCATAGGCTATAAACATATATACACCCTATTATATACAAATTCAAATACATACCCTATTATATATAATTACAAATGAATCTATACCTTATTATATATAAATACTAATAAAACTATAACCTATCATATATGAATAAATATAAACACAAATAAATGAATCCGCACCCTATTGTATATAAATATACATAAATACAAATATACACCCTATTATATAAATACAAATAAATGAATCTATACCCTATTATATGTAAAGAATTTATACCCTACTATATATGAATGAATACAAATAAATGAATATACACCCTATTATATTTAAATAAATAAAAATAATTGAATAAACACCCTATTTTATATAAATAAATGCAAAATAATACACATAAATGAATCTATACCCTATTATATATGAATAAATACAAATAAATATACATCCTATTATATGTAAATAAACGACTATACATTTATATGTAGATGTATATTTATATAGAAATATATATAAATACAAATAAGTGAATCTATACCCTATTATATATAAATAAAAATAAATATACACCAAATAGAATATAAATAAGTACAAACAAATGAGTATACAACCTATTTTATATAAATATTTATATAAATAAATACACATAAATGAATATACACCCTATCATATATATAAATATATGTAAATGAATACAATAAATGAATATACAACCTTTTTATATAAATATATAAATACAAATAAATACAAATAAATGAATATACATGGTATTATGTATAAATATATATAAATAGAAATATAGACCCTATTATATATAAATACAAAGACATGACTATACACCCTATTATATATAAATTAATCTATACCCTATTATATAGAAATGAATTTATATATTAATAAAGACAAGTAAATGAATATACACTTTATTATCTATAAATGCAAATAAATATATACCCTATGATACATAAATACAAACCCTATTGTATATAAATACAAGTAAATACACATAAATGAATCTACACCCTATTATATAGAAATAAATGAATATACATCCTATGATAATAAATAAATAAATATAAATGAATACAAATAAATGAATATACCCCTATTAGATATAAAACCTGTTATATATAAATATGTATATAATTACAAATACATGACTATATACCCTCTTATATACAAATAAATGAATATCAACCCTATTATATAAATACAAATAAATGAATATGTACCCTATTATATATAAACACAAGTGAATATCCACCCTGTTGTATAGAAATACACATAAATGAATCTATACCCTATTAGATGTGAATAAATACAAATAAATGAATATACAGCCTATAATATATAAATATAAATAAAAATAAATGAATATACACCCTATTATATAGATGAATCTATACCCTATTATATGTAAATAAATGCAAATAAATGAATAAGCACCCTATTATGTATTAATAAGTATCTGCACAGATCTTGGCTCACTATCTCCAGACCTACCCCTTCCAAATCATGCCTTGGGAAATTCCTTCATTTTGACTTGGCTCGATGCACACCTCAAAGCTTACCCTGTATTTATCCCTACCATCAGGCCAGACTGGTTTATTAGCACACAGCCTCCCTATGGATCACAGGGCACACAGGTATTTAATAACATGAAATAAACCACCATTGACCCTACACGAGAAGGAGGAGCATGAAGCACGCTGCAGAGCAGCAACCCCCATGGACTTTGCTTTACACAACAAGGTGCATTCCAGACCTTTGGAAATAAATACTGCGTACACAACCACCTGTTTTGGTTATCATGGAATGGTTTCGATTCTAAGGGGTGTTAAAGCTCATCTTGTTGTAAGGGGCAGGGACACCTTCCACT